CATAGGGACATAGAGACAGAAAAGGCGACGTTGTTTTAAACTATGTAGTGATATGAATGAATAAGTCAGGCGATTGCACATTATAAAACAAAATGTGCAATTATATATGTTCCGGTCGACTTATGTAATTAGTTTTGCGTGGTCAATTATGAAGTTAATTAGTGCAATGTATAGTTTGGTATTATTATTAAATGATTATATACAGGTATAGACATTGTTTTGGTTCAAAACTCACATTCGGAGTGTTATTGTATTCGTGTTATTGTGTAATTGTGTAATTAGGGTAAATAGGTATGTTCAATATAGGTCTGCTCTTCCCGACCGGGGTTGGTTGTCTCATGAGTTGGTTGTGGTTAAGGTTGAATGAATCGCAAAGGTGGGAGAAGAAGACTTTTTCACTTTCAATGCCGATTCTTTGTTCCTTCTAAGTTAGGTTTTACGATCTCTGTGACAAGTTACGTATAATGCACACAGCCATTACCGCTACATACAATTCTTTATTTTTTTTATGTAATAGGTCGGCAAACGAGCAGACGGATTACCTGATGGTAAGCAATCAGCGCCGCCCATGGACACTCGCAACGGAGGAGTTACGAGTGCGTTGCCGACCGGGATTAGGGATTTGGAGATTTTGGGATTGAGGAGGGATTGGGGGAGGGGAAGGATTGGGCCTCCGGTAACCTCACTCATACGGCGAAACTCAACGCTGTGGTTATTTCACGCCGGTTTTCTGTGAGGAGGTTTATAGCAACTTTCTGATATAACAAAGTCAATCATTTTATCTTTACTAACTTTCGTGTCTTTTTCTTAATAACAATGCTTGTTAATTATGTCTAAAAGTGTTCAATAGTTTATGAGTTAAGGAACATTAAGATGGGTAAAACAAAATTATTGATTTCTCGTTTACATTTACGCGGCCAGAGACCAAATTGCCTAGTGCGTGTTTGCTTTTCGTTAACGCGATTGAAACGTTACGATTGGTTGGTTAACTTGGAACTGACCAATCAGATCGGCGAACGTCATAAATGTCTCGATCGCATTAACGTGTAGCAAACTATCACTGGGCAAATCTATACTAATACTAGCTTTTGCCCGCGACTCTGTTCGCGATAATGACTTCCTGCAGATTTTTGGTATGAAAACTATCCTATGCCCTTTCTCGAGTTCAAAACTACGTCTGTACCTAATTTCACAGAAATCGGTTCAGTAGTTTAGGCTAAGAAAAGATAGATAATAAAGCTGTAGAGTTGCTTTATTTGTTTGAAAGCGCTAACCCCCGGAACTGCTGGTTCGAATTGAAAAATTCTTGATGACCATTGTTAACTAACGTGTTTAATAGACCATTTATTGAGGAAGGCTTTAGGCTATAAAACATCACGCTACACATGTAGGAACCGAGTAGCTAGTATATATATCTGAATCCAGCTCGCTACCAATACGAGACGATAACATAGTTTCTCAACATGAATTGTATAATAAAAATATCTAGCTAAAATAAAGTAATCAAACCTTTTCCCTTTGTTCCCTTAGCTACTAATCGATGCGAAATGCGTATATTTACTAACAAACCGATAACAGGTTTACAGTTCAATATAGGCATGTTTACACTGGTTCCTATTAGGGTTCAACTGTTAAGGCGTTAAATCCGGCTTTGTTTAGTAGCGATAGCAAAAAGGTGATGAGAAAAAAATATTTAAATAAATCAATATTTAACTCGTGGTATAAGACCGCAGATCCAAGCGAGTCACGATGTTTTTCGGTTGTTTCTGATATAGCGACAGAGAAAAGCTTTTAAATCTTAATAATAGTTTCTTTTATAGCAATAACGAAAATGATATTCTTTTGTTTTTTTTTTAAACAGTTGTGGATCTGACAAACGAAATATAAAGATAGAAAAATCTAGTTTTACATTTTCTCTCGTTACTGTTTTGATTTTAAAACTTTTATTTAAAGAAGCTCAAATAGTTTCAAACGAGATGTTGTAAGAGAGAGAATTTATAAAGAGGGCGTGAGCGATATTACTCTTGATACAGCAGCAATTGTGCGGCAGTCGGCGAAAGAAAGCTTGCTCAAACATTGCGTAAAACTGTGCAGTTCAGTTACTAAGCCTAATTATATTATTAACTTATCTAATATCAGAAGAAATAATAAAATCGATACAATAAAAGCATAACAAGGTACTTAAGACACCAAATTACTCACATAACAACATTTTATTACAAAATACCTACAAGTTGGTATGTACCTAATGAATGCGTAGAAAGTCAATATTTATTATGTTTTGATAGTAAACTAGTAAGCTGTACTAGTAATAGTTAAGCAATACTAGTCCAGTTAAATGGAACAGTTAAACATTTCCTGAACGATAACTTTGTTGGCCATGTCACATGTAAAAGATCTTACCACATTGATCACCATGTCAAAGTTTGAAACAATGAATATTTTTTTTCAAATGCATAAACAACATTTCAATATTTTGTATAAAAAGCTAGATCAGAGGTCCATGTTTATTTTGAATTTTTTTATGTAATAGGTTGGCAAACGAGCAGACGGATTACCTGATGGTAAACAATCAACGCCGCCCATGGACAGCCGCAACGGAGGAGTTACGAGTGCGTTGCCGACTTTTTAGGGATTAGGGATTGAGGAGGGATTGGGGGAGGGTAAGGATTGGGCCTCCGGTAACCTCACTAATACGGCAAAACACAACGCTTTGGTTGTTTCACGCCGGTTTTCTGTGAGGCCGTGGTATCATTCCGGTCGAGCCGACCCATTCGTGCTGAAGCATGGCTCTCCCACACTTAATTTTAAAAATCTAGACGATTTAAATAGAAGATGTCGGGCAATGGCGTCCGACGCTGGCGGTATTAATGCATTTTAAATCAAAAATAACTGTGAACTTTGAACAAAGAAAAAAAATTAATAAACAAATCTTTTAAATTACTGATCTGACAATATCAATCATCTTTATTATAAATAAATAAACAAGTTTGTTTCGCTGTCTGTACGCAGATGCGCACGAGTTGCGTTTGTTGTCGTATCCTGGCTATAAATACATGCGCCGGCGCAGGAATGCTAAGTTTACCAAAGTTTGTACTGTGTAGGGTAGTTCTGGGAATCATGTTTTTGTTTAATGGTTTTTTGGCTTTCCCTATATACCTACTCACCATATCATGTTTGGGATAGGCAGATAGCATAAAACGTTCAAAAGCATGAATTTGACAATTTCCAACTCGGCCACAAAAGGAACAATGGGCATCCATACTCTTTATTACAACCATTATTTTTTTTTGAGGGAGTTTGATCGATATTGAATTTTAGTTACTGGTTAAAAACCATATATAAGCCGGATAAACATTAATAAAAACATGTTAATTTGCTTACTAATTGACTGCATTATATTAATGATAATGTTGCGAATGCATTAATTATACCAGACAAGAATTCCATCTAAAGTTACTTTTCCCACTCAAAAATATTTACTTTTAACAAACATACATGTATGAATATATATTACTGCAAAACCATAGTTACAGTAAATTCTAAAGTTTTCTAGTAAAAACTAAAATCTACCAAGTTTACCTAAATGATTAAACAGTTCAGTGATCATTTTACGATAAACACGGCAAATATTAAAAATCTAAATATGGCACCCCTAAGTAGGATCAGGACCATGAATTACTTACTTCAAACTACAGAAAATCGATAATGAGTAAAAACCAAACATGTCATACTCACAAAATTTTATACTAGCCGGCAAAATCGACACGTTTAGAAAACAACCTTACATACCTATTTACAATATTTGCTAGTAAAACCCAAGATTAACTAGTAAGACTCAAAAATTAACTAGCAAGACCTGAGATTGACCAACGCACGCGGTTTGACAGTAACATGATGTACATTTGTATGCAATTCCACTTACGAATTAATTTCGATCTAAATCGGTTCATCTTTTGAATTGCAACATCGTATCAAGTGCTATTCAGATTCAAGAGCTCTCGAGATGAAGCAAATAGGTTAATTAATGTTACGATTACTATTTTAAAACAATGTTCTAAGTAAATATTATTATCTTTATGTAATACGTTCTATTACTAACATGCAGACGGATTACCTGATGGTAAGCAATCAGCGCTGCCCATGGATACCCGCAACAACGGGGAGTTACGAGTGCGCTGCCGACATTTTGGGGATTAGAAAATTTTGGGATTGGGGAAGGGAAGGATTGGGCCAGAACTGTGTGAAGAAAACACCAGCAACGCGCCTGTCACTCTTCTGGTGTTGCACTTGCAGGTGTCTATGGGCGGCGCTGATCGCTTACCATCAAATGACCTGTCCATCTGCTCGTTTGCGTTCTATACCATAAAAAAAGATTAAGATTCGATAGATTCATTGTTTAGTAAGAGATGAAACACAATATGTTTACTGTGAAACATCGGAGATGAGCAAATTGGTATTTCTAACTTGAACTGTGAACTAACACTCCTTGAATTTACAAGGAGTGTTGTCTTGTGGTGGCAGTTAAGGCACCCGCTTCTCATGCATGAGGGTGCGGACTTGACCCGTAGCAAATACCTATGTGACTTTTTATGTACTTTCTAAGATGATTTAGGCAACACTGACAAACGGTGCAGGAAAATAACGTGAGGAAATCTGAATTTTTAATTATTTCTAATAAAAAATTTGAAATCAATAATTTCGTTGAGCAATTGGTTCATGTTCATATCCTCTCCGAGATAAAGAGAGGCCTTTGCTTAGCAGTAAGTACCTATATGCTGATGATGATGATGATGATGATGATAATAGCAATATAAACTATGTAGACACCCACCGTTTTTAAAAAACTTTATACTAAATATGTATTAACACGTTAACTGCCATGTAGGTCATCGGGACCTAGGGTAGCGGAGGACTTGCCTTTAAGTAATAGTTTTCTGTCGGTAGTCACTGCGATTAAGATAGTTAGTATCTTTCATATCACCCAAAAAACACGAATTATGATTACCCTAAAGTTAGCCAAAGACAACAATAACGAGCTCAAAGGTAAGCTCGTAAAACTAAAACACCAAATCAACTTAAATACCAATCTATTAAGATTCAAAATAGATAGCATCTTCCCATAAAAGTGAAGCGGTTTCGAATGCTGAATGAATGCAGTTGGAGTCGCGTTTAATTCAATTCACATTGACACTAATTCGCCGGGCCAACTGCGGGGCAAGGCCAAATCTAATAGACGCCATTACGATCTTCTCTGATAAAAACCTGATTTCACTGCTCGATACTAAAGTGTGTTTTTAATTCAATAATTTATTTGAAGATTGCTTTTGAAGTATTTTTTATTTGTTATTATAAAAATACATTGCCCTCAATAGGATTTACTCCTGTGTCGTGGATGCGATTTCCTGTGTCGTGCTTCATCGTGCTGGATCGAAACCGAGACACTGCACGGCAGCGAGTTGCCCATCCACTGCGTCAACCGTGCAGTCATTATCAAGAAGTAAAATTTGTGAGTTTGTATGTAGGGGGTAATCTTTGGAACCGCTGGTCGGATTGCCAAAATCCTTTCACTGATAGATGTGAAAGGATTTTGGCTACAATGTTCCTGAGTGCTGTAGACTGTAAAACACCACGCTTCGATCACTTAGAGCCGAGATATAAATAGTATCAACTGGAGTTTTCTAAAATACAAAATTGTATGTCCGACCTGTTGTCATATCTTCTCTCACCATCGAGAGCCCGGGAGAGAGTGTCAGACTCTTACTGACTAAAACCCACCTCGTTCCTTTTTCTTCTTCGAGCAGTGGTTGTGTAAGGAAAAGGAAACTAAACAAGTGCAGAAGAAGACTTCTATTGTACAAACTACTACTGCTAATGAAAACGATGTTTTTATATGAAGTTAAATTGGCAGATATATGTAAGAAATCCTCCAGTTAAATGTTGTTGATGTTCATTGGACATACGATTTAAAAGCAATTGTTATAAATCGGATAATTATTGAGACTATGTATTGTCTGTTACTGGGGTTGCAAGGCAAGCGCAATAACGTACCGGGACCTAGGTCTGTAACAGGGTTTAGTCAGTAAGAGTCTGATACTCCCTCTCGCCTTACCCTGGGTGAGAAAATTCACTTGGTAATTTTTCCGTCACCGAAAAAGTGCACTAAACCAATCTTTGTGTAATCAACTAATTTATTATGGTCCCGTGTCTGGGTGTGATGTGTATGTATGTGAATTTGTAAGTATGTAGTGAATGCAACTACGATGAAGGAGGAAACCCGTGTCTCCCAAAAAATTTTTTTTTTTAAAAACGTTGCCTCATTCTAGGGTTTTCTTCGTGTCGTGGGTGCGGTTACAAACATAGAATTTCACATACACATGACACCCAGACACGGAACAACGATTTGTGGATCACACAAAGAGTTGTTCCGTGCGTGAATCGAATCCGCGACACGTTGCACGGCAGCCAGTTGCCTAGCCACCGCAATCGTGCAGTCGATCTCAAATCAATCTCAATCAATTCTAATTTTTTCAATGCAAATGAAATACCTTGAAGACCTTAATACAAGAAATTGTTCATAAATATTATGTAGGTACAGATATGCTTACAATATCGTGTTTCACGAACACGGGTTACATTACATTCATTTAGCACAAACGAAGATCATTATAATTATCAAGTTACATAAAAAAAACCTTTAACAGTTGCATGTCATGAAATAATTGACACGTTTCCATCTTTTCTGATAGACGGTTGCGCATCAAGCTATACTATAAATAACCAGCTTATCACGATACCCCTACATACAAAGTAACAAATTTTACCTCTTTACAGAATTAGTATAAATAGCATATTAAAAAAAGGCTCTTAAAAGTCTACGAGCGTCGTTCTTTAAATATAATTTCTAATCATAAGTTTGATATCGCCAACCCGCATTGAGCAAGCATGGTGATTAATGCTCTAACCTTCTCCGTGTGAGAAGAGGCCTTTGCTCAGCAGTGGGCACTTATAGGCTGATGATGATGATGACTTAGTAAATCTTGGAGTTTACTAGCAAATATTAGTTTTAACCGTCATTGGTTATAATGTAAGGTTTTTAAAGGTGTCGTCGGTTTTTTCGGACTACTATTAGAACACAAAAACAGATCCTTTACGACAACCCTACAGTCAAATACAATGTGCATCAATGTTTCTCAACCAGTATCAGTTCAATTCTACATAGTTTTTAACAAAAAGTTTTTAATTTACGCCGCAACTAATCTAATTATTTCGCCATTTACTCGGTCGTGTTCTTGTTGGGTAATTCTAGATTCTGAATTGCGAACACTTGGTAATGGTAGGCAGGTACAGCTATAGTCTGTGTGCATTACATGCGTCTGTATCTAGGTAGTTAACTTTCAATAGTCCAGTAATGTTTTTAGGTAATAGTAGTGAAGATTTCTTTGCTAATAACTGCCTACTTACAGTAAAACCACGTATGTTATGTAGTTCATCTATACTAATATTATAAAGAGGTACAGTTTGTAATTTGTAAGTTCGTATATAGGGGGTAATCTTTGGATCCTCTGGTCGGATGTCACTGACAGATAGCTACAATGTTCTTGGGTGCTATACGCTATAAAACATCACGCTACGATCAAATGGAGCCGAGCAGCGGGTGAAACCGCGCGAGAGTAGCTAGTACCCTGTAAAATACAAAACCATTTGCGTAATAATCTTTCAATTGTTTCTGAGTTTTTGTAATCGTTTTGATAAACGAAGAAAGAGATTTTTCGATCTTATACTTAACATCATCAGCCGATAAGTACTTACTGCTGAGCAAAGACCTCTTCTGACACGAAGAAGGTTTGACCATCAATCACTACGCTTGCTCAAGACTCATTGGTGTTATCAAACTTATAATTGGAAATTATAAGTTTGGGTTCCCTCACGATGTTTCTCTTCACCGTCTGTGGTGTCTAAATAATCTTGGAAAGTACATATAACACGGACAATGTAATATTGGATCTTGCCAGGTTTCGAATCCACGTCTTCATGCATGAGAAGCGGAACCCTAATATCTAGACCACCACGATATTTTGGGCATACATAGTTCAAGGGTTTCGATTCTTATAGTTATTTTTGAATTCCAATCTCTTTGAGGCTTTAGTTCAGAGTTACAAATTCAACACGATAGCTCAAAAATAATTATTTTAAAATCAAACTTTGACCAGGCTAAACGCACGTCTCTTGTAGAAATATGACACATAACATAGTGTTCAGTAATTTGTCAAAAAAATAAACATTAACACAGCCAACCCCACACGAGGTTGATTGATGACAACGATCTGAGAACAGAGAGTAACTAAAATACCAAACCTGTCCGTTATTAGTTCCACACGCATCCAAACATGGAACGAATCAATGAGACGCTTAAATTCTTTAAAAACTAATTTACATTTATTATTTTAGGAAGAAATAAAAATGTTACGCGTAACGGCACGAATCATCCAGACTTAAGGACTAAGGTGGTCGGGCACTCTCCCCCGATTTAGGTGCACTCACAGCCTAACAGCGGTCATACCACCCAACCCATCGGAACTTAGGGACTTAGGTCACGTTGAATCGTGCCGTTTGATCAGTGTTTGAGAAGAGGATGGCTTCTTTTATGAATCAAATTACATTAAACACAAGAAGGATACGGGTCTTAAAAATATGTATATGGAGTGTGTGAACAATAGGTATGACGACTAAAAAATTATTATTATTCTATCTTTTAGAACGCCAGAAAATAGTAGACGTATTTTTTCTTTTGCTTCTAAGACTTAAAATAACATAGTTACAGAGCGGCGAAAGTTCGCGCTACGTCATTATTTCGTAAAATTTTTACGACAGAGTGACTTCACGAGCCCCTACTCCTGAATTTGAATGTGATGTATCTTTGTCAATATTATTCGTATGGACAACTAAAAAAATACATATCGAGTAGGTAGTACCTATTTTTTTATAATCTGACGGACTACTTTTCTAATATTTTCTTCGATAAGAACCTTCTTCTCGCATTAATAAACAGAAATGGATTAACCAAACACTCCAAACAGTCTTATGAAGAAAAAAGCGTATAGTTAAACTGAGCATCCACGTACTGTGATAGCAATAAACATATACTTTCTTCAATACAAGCAGAAACCTGAAGTTTAAAGGTCTACTTCCTCAATTAATACGTTAAATTTACTTAACAACTAATTAACTACATACCCACCTATCTATTTGACGTCCATATTGACTTAAAAACTCCTTTAGTTCACAACCGAATGGCCTACATCGTTAAAAAAATGCAGAAAATTACACTGTAATTGACTGAACATCCATCAGACAGTTTGTTTGTCAATATTACGGCGGAGAATGTGTAGGTATCGAGTTGTAAGAAAATAAAACTTAATATTATGGTATTTGAGTCTTGTTTTAATTTGTCATCTTGTTAATGAGTAAGATGATACAGTAATTATTTGGGTAGGTGTTTCATCAATAAGGCAATTTGAACTCAAATGCATTCCTTGTTTTGTACTGGTGTTCGATAGGTTGTCTTTGGAAATTACTATAGTGCTTTGAATCGATCCTTTTATTAATATAACATATATAAGTATATGTAATGTCTTCAGCTCCAAAATCTATAATATTTTGAGCTATCTACAAAATAATGTGATTTAATGCATTGACATTTCTTCTCATATGTAGACTTCGCCAAAAAGAACTGAAGGCCTGGAAACCGTTTGCTACATATCGATTTTCCATAAACAAATTTACAGTAAGATTCTGTATCAAAATTATTGTGCGCTACAAATGTAACGCGACCACGGCCTCGGCCTGGAGCAGGAGGAGGAACGAAACGAGGTGGTTTTTTTCTCAGTAGACACTCCCTCTCCCCAGGACGGGAGAAGTCATTTGATGACTATCCACTATAAAAACAAAAACATCTTCCTTCATATAGAACATTAAAAAAACAACAACAAAATTCATTCTAGAAGCTATCAATTAATTAAGAGACAAACATTCCTTAGATCTACACATCATTATTGTATCGAAAACTCACACAAATAACGGCCAACGTATCTTGGCGAGTCTGAAGTTAGCCGTTTGTCTGCGCAATGGATCTTTTAGGAACAAAATTGTGTACTGCGCAGCTTATCGGCCAACTTCAGACTCGCCAAGATACGTTGACGGTATTGTACATTGTTAAAACAACAAAATTCATTCTAGAAGCTATCAAATAAGAGACAATCAGTCCTTCGATGCACACATAAACAGGTCTGAATGCACGTCACTCAATACATATACCTACATATAATATATACCTAATGATTACCAGATAATTAGGCTTATTATGAATTATGTAGTGTCACGCTTCGGCACATATACCTATTATGTATATGTATAGGTACCTACCTCCTTATAGGTAATGGTTAGAGCATCCTTTTATCTGTAAGTGGGTACCTATACTTGCAATGCTGGAGCCTAATATTTAACCGACTTGACTAAATAAAGAGGTAAAGAGTACGGTATACCGGAGAATAAAAAAATCGTGAGGGTTTCCTCACGATTACTGAACCTATAGTTTTTGAAATTGTCAGTCGGCCTTGATCACGTGTGGTCAAACCTTCTCCGTGTGAGAAGTGGTATAAGGAAGTAAATTATAGGCCAGTGATTATGATAGGTTAGATTTTATATTTTGATTAAATTCAAAATCCAATATTACGAGACAAAATGAATAGGTAGGTAGCAAAAAAACAAAACAGTCTGTTAGAATCGACTAAAAAACTACCGTAAATTGCTCTAATACAATATCTAATTTAACAAGTAGGTACCTACTTCATAATTTATGCCTTCGTTAAAAACATAAAAATATACCTACCTGTACTATGTATAAAATTGGGAACCGATAAAAAAATGCTTCTTAACTTAATGACAGAAGTTAATATAACACCAAAAGTTATAAATTACAAAGACGAAATTATAAATAACATTCATAAACAACAAACATACCAAAGAGGATCATTATCAACAAAAAAATATTATCAAATCAACAGTAACATACATTACTGCTTCTAACGCCATCTGTTAGCTACATGTCTGCAACATTTTGTTCGTGTACGTGAACGCTTATTTCGCCGCTGTCAACATGTGTCAGGATGGCCGAGCGGTCTAAGGCGCCAGACTCAAGGTTTCCTTGCCTGTCAAACAGGTTCGAGTTGTTCTGGTCCTCTCTGAGGGCGTGGGTTCGAATCCCACTTCTGACAAAACTTTTTGTGAATTTTATTTTGTTTTTTTCGTGATGTATAACGAATTAAAACTGCTGTTCCGTTTTATTAAATCAGTGTCAATCGATTATGTAATGAATTCCGAATTGTGATCTCGATTTCTGTTTTTAGTTGCGTAACAACTAACTACCGGAGATTTGAATGACATAATTTGTAACACTGTAACGAGTACCTACTGAATAAATTGTTACAAATACCTATTTAATTATTTTGACAATTCGTAATTTTAAATGGCGATTTTTTATTAAATTGTTTTTCAAAATGGAACAAAACGCAATGCAATTAAATATTCAAAAATAATCATAAGAACGTATTAATAGTTTTGTTTGACCATATACTTAATTTGTTAATTTTAGATTTTCATTGGTTACCTACATTTTACTAAAAAAAAGTATGCTGTTTGACCCAAAAATATGATGACGTCAATTTTTCGTTTTCCATACCAAATCTATAAAACAGTTTTTGACATTTACAATAAAAGTACTGAATTTTAATAGTAGTCAAATATCAAGAAGGAAGAATCCGCGCTTTCTTCAAAAAAAACAAAAAATACACCTTATCATTAAAAAAAAAAACTATTCTATAACTTACTATAATACTGCCTTTTATTTACGTAAAACTTTTCATTTGGCACATTAGATTATTGCAATTTGAACCTTACTACTTAGATGTTAAGTAAACAGAATAACTTTACACTTAATTAAGTAGTCATAAGTTCATGACTTTAGGCTGTCTCCACGTGTTCAGGTGAGCAAACGGACTATTACATTGTTAAAATATTAGTATACAATACAATACACATGGCAGCAAGTCATGCTACCCAAATATGTTAAGTAAGAATTTCAACCTTATTTCGTGGTGATAAAGTTGATATTCCATTGAAGGAATTCGTGTTTTCAGGGTAGCTTGATGTGCCGTTTCTAAAATGGTTTGTGGAAAAAAATGCTAATTTAGTGTTTTTGAATTGTAAATAGATAATTATTCAAGCATTAACGAAATTGAAAAAAAAAACATTTTGTTACTGAAAATATGATTTGGAAACAGGCCAATACATTGCCATCTACCTGCGAATTATTTTGATCAAAAGGCCGCGCTGTAACTATTCTACGGGTTATCAATTTAAGCGCCAAAGGAATTATTATACTTTAGTATTTATTTAAGGTTAAAAATCTGCACTGTTCAATGTAGGTACGAATTTCAACTTTTCAACCATTTTCACATTTATTCGCACACGAAATCCAACCGAATGCTTCTACAACGAAGAGTTCTTATTGACTGCAGGTTCGCATTCATATCATATCATTATCTCAGATATACATAAGTATATATGAATTTGAACCTAACATTTCTTTACATAAGGTGTACTATTGTCTAAGAGTGATCTGCATAATGCCATACGAAACTGACACACGAAATTCAACTGTATACTAAGAGAGAAGTCTACTATCTGTCTCCAAAACATGTCACACGATAATCGACAGTATGTCACATATTATAAGGTGTTTAATTGAGAGTGAACTACATAATGTCATACAAAATTCAACTCTGTAACAAAAGAGTAGTCTACTATAATCGCATCCAATGTCACACGATAATCGACCATACATGACTAACTATAAGGTGTTTAATTGTCTGCAGGTGTGCAGTGCGTGTGTGATGGTACGCACGCACACGGTGCTGCTGCTGGCGGTAGCACTGTGCGGCGCCGCCACCACGCTGGACTCCGAGCTCGGGCTGGGCAAGGCCATCAACATATTCATGAGGTTAGATCTACCACACATACTTACACGAGCTTCTGCGAGCAACTTTACCCGTGTTACATTACAAATATATTTGCTATTCCAGTATTATATCTCCATCTCTATCGTAAAAGAGTAACTAATATCCATCCATCCATTATTCATAGGATTACCTCTATCCATAGTCCACAATGTAGCTTCCTTTACAAACAACGGTTTGATACCTCCGACCATAGACCGGCCTGCCAAGAGGAACCTACACCGCATATCAGAGAATGCTGTTGCTTGGGCTGTTTCATAAATATATATTGAACCTTAAATGTCTCTTACGCCACCCGCGATTTTCACTGCTGACAACATACGGCTAAATATACTTAGTATAAAAACTTTTTCTAGATATTCTGAGATTATTCATCAAAGGGCAGCCGGAATTCAACTAATGAAGTGACTGGGAACGTCCAGAGATGACTGTGGAAAATCGATTAGATTCAAAATGGATTTTTAATCGTAGCGTGTACCTTTAACAGTTTTTGGGGAACGCTAATCTCTTCATTAAAAATAAAGAAACGAAAAATATTTCACTTCTTAACAAAATTTGACAGCTAAATACATCGACACGCCCTTTTCCAGATATGGCTACCTCAGCATCTGCATGCGGGTGGTTCCTCGCAACGACACGGAAGGCTGGGTGTTCAGGGAGCCTACAGTCTCCGTGTTCCGCGAGGTGGAACAGTACACCATCGCGCCAACTCCTCGTCACGCCAAGACTCTCTTCGACGGAGACTTCCACATGGAGTTCTGCGATAACCTGAAGCAGTTACTGCAGGCTTACTTTAGGGATTTTAGTTTTGAAAGGTACGTGGGACGGTGACCGTGCTTGTAATATTTTCGACTTAACAACTTCCCAAAAGTGAACCAGTAAAGTGTAGGAGAGCCATGCTGCGGCACGAATGGGTTGGCTCAACTGGAGTGATACCTCGGCCTCATAGAAACTTGGCGTGGAATAACCACAGCGTTGTGTTTCGCCGTGTGAATGAGGTTACTGGAGACCCAATATCTCCCTTATCTCTTATCCCCTAAAGGTCGGCAACGTACCTATAAATCCTCTGTTGTTGCGGGTGTCCATGGGTGGCGTTGGTCGTTTACGCTTACGTCTGATCAAGAAGTTGGAGAATTCTTGGTAAGGCCTTCTGACTAGTAAGAAGTGGCTTTGGTAAAACTGCTTAACCCACTGTAGTTTAAGCCTAACAGGTCAACAATATTATCTTCTGCGCATGCGAATGTCCCAGCACATGCTTTGAGCAGGTTCCTCGTGAATGTTTGGTCTACATTTTATCCAAAACTTGCAGCCGATACTTAGGCTTGTGGAATTGCCCCTAAACTGTAAGTATTGTAGACTAATCATGACTAAATCCTCCTAATTATAAAAAGAACTCGATAACTGTTCCACCAATATATATTTCGCCTATGTTGTTTTATTTCATTTCTGAATTTTGGCGTTCCAGACTGGAGCGTCCATGGCGTGCATTCACCGCTGGCTGGCCGACAGACATCATGGCCAGAAACCTTGGCATCAACTCTTCCTTCATCAATGGAGACCACTGCTATGTTCTCGTCAGAGTTTCCAGGTAATAAATTATTACTTTAAGAAACATCTATGTAAGTACCTCGATTCATTTTCGTTTTGCTACTTGGACAAGCAATGAAGGCACGCAAACGACTTGCTATGTTTCTAGACATTTTTATAAATACCTGAGTATGAACTATGAGCCATTACATATATAAGTTAGTGTGTACATAAGGAAGGTGGTGAAACAGGCGCCAAATCTCTTCTGACGAGAGGCAATTCTGTTACAAGAAATTCTTTCTATGTAGCTACGAAGAAATTTGGTTAGCAAAATTATTTCGGGTTACTTGAGCATATAATCATATTTACGGGGATAATATAATTAAATATCTTCTCCCATCCTGGGTAGTGCAATAAGAATTGTTAGACTAATAACTAAAAACCATCCCATTTCTTCTCCGGCTCCAAGCTGGGGCCGCGGGTCATTATTGCGCTATATATAACGTTTATAGCAAACCTAACTTTAATCCTAGAACAACAAGGTAATAAGCTAAATGACTAGCTTATAATGTTATTCTATGGTATTCCAGGTTTCGTGAAACAGCCAAATTGAGTGACTTGCCAGGAAACATAGCGGTAGAGGATGTAGTTTACGATGCTATTCAGGAGGCGAACATTGGAGATACAGCGTCCATAGCTGATTTTATTAGAAAGTACGGTTCCCATTACATTGCGTCGTACATCACTGGAAATTCGCTATATCAGGTACCTGTTGTTTTGTTAATAAAGTAATTCACTTTAATCTCTCATAAAACTTGAAAACTTCATGCACATAAGGCCCCAAGAACAGAAGGGCCAGTCAAAAATATGTTTTGTGACGTCAAATTGTCGTCTTAAAAGTAAAACAAAACACATAAAAGCATATAGGTAGTTGTGCTTGGTTTTTTTTGTGCCAAATGAAGAAGTTATTAGTCCCATGTCACAATCTTAAGGTGACTTCAGTTTATAGGTACTTCAGACTATAGTCCAGAACTCCAGTTAAGAACTGAACAATCGACAGTTAATGTCTTCAAGATTATTTTAATCGAAAAGCCCACAAATGAGCACAGAGTTCTATTTAAGATATTTAAAGTCTAGCAAGCACTAAGTAATTTAAAATTCTCACTGTTTTTATTTAATTCATCCGGTCAATTCACAGCGAGTTTAAGTTTCCATTAACGAGATGGCGTTAGTGTAGCGTAAAGTCCAAGTAGCTTAGCTGTCATTAGTTGACTGTCTAACACAATGACGATAGCCAAAATTATATGAGTCAATATTTTTTAAGCTACACTAACGCCTCGCGATGTATAAGCCCTTGTTCAAGTAACATATCGTATGATGAATAGAAAGGAAGTATATAATAAATAAATATATTTGAATCTAACAAAATATTTTTCAATAAATAAGGTTCAATTTTGAAATATACTCTTCTATTAGTTAGTTCTGTTTTCTATAAAATATGCGATATAATTGATTTTTATTTACAGTGCTTGCTAGACTTTAGCATAGACTGAATTTTACAAATAATATGTAAATCAAACTCCAGGTATTTGTGTTTTCCCGTGGCGTGTACACCAAGATAAAAGAGCGCGTCAAATCCCGCGGTATCACTGACATACCGATCTCTGAGATGAACAACTTCTTTTCTCCGCTCTTCGCCGAACATGTTGGCGCTGTCAAGGTTTGGACTGTGTGTCACTTAAAGCCTGATTCTACATACTTCCTGATTCAGAAAAAGAAATGGCCAAAATTGTGATTTGTTACAGTTTCCATTAGATATTTTTTATGGATAACAATTCCTATAGTTATTCTAACAAATATTTAAATATCTACTAGCGACCTGCCCCGGCTGCGCAGGAGTGCAATACTGATACTAAATATACTATTTCATTAATGTACACATATATACATATAAACATTCCTCTTCAATCACTCTGTCTACAAAAAAAGACTACGTGCTAAAAGATTTTCAGTACTTGCTAAACAACTAAAAATCTACACTTCGGTAATTAAAACTACTATCAATAGATCAGCAGACGCATTAAAGGACCTATAAATTGCATTAGAAATCTTTGACCTTTCTTTACCATGTTCCAAAAATGTAGAATCAGGCTAAAACAATGCATGAACCATCCATACACCATCTCTACCAATCATGGATGACATTATGCATTAACTCACAATCGAAAAACTTCTTTTCATTCATATTTCATAAGATATCAAATCATTACATTCAATCATCATGCATGAGCATAGTCATGTATTTACTTCTCATACATTCTCTCTTTCTCTATTCCTGATCATTGATTTACCATCATTATCATCACAGTATTCGAAATTCTAACATCATCATAACATTAGGTACTGGATTGTCATCTTTAAACTACCGAATTTATATATATGTTGTTAATTTTTACTTATATGATATGATAACTTGTATGATAGATGCAATAGTTGAAAAAAAGCATGTTAATATTTTATACTTTAATTAAATCACTTTACACATGATGTAAAGTCACGACGACGAATAACGTGTTAGAAATTTAATAAAACTATTATAGAATTCAGATGCAATATTGGTGAGAGTGCAAGTACCTATAGTGAATATACTTCAAACTGATTAAGACAGTTTTATTAAATATAAAACTTTAACAGGTTAATAAACAAGGACCAAACATAGTTGAGAAATCTTTTAATATTAATTACAAAAACATTCACATTGTGAGATATATCCATCGTAATGTCATCTGTAAAAAATTGCTAGCTACTTGATAAGAACATTTTTTTTTGAAAGATGGGAGTTTTATATTTTTGTGGTAAAAGATGTCGAGGGAAAGAGAGAGAAAATTATAATTACAATGTAATAAAAAGAGACAGTAAATAAAACAAATGAAAAGAAGTTTAGACCACAGTCTAACCTCGACACAACACCGGAGTACACGCAACCAAAATTTTAAAATTAGAATAGAAACATGATATCTTGTCTATGCTCTCACTCCAGGTGTTTGTGTTCTCTAGAACGGCTTACTCTATGATCAAAGAGAGGTTAAAAAGTAAAGGCGTAGCAGATATAACTGCTAAAGAACTAGAAGGATACTTCTCACCATGGCATGCCAAGCATATAGGCCAGATAAAGGTAATATAAGCTAACATGACTATATTTATTATACGACCTAGTTATAAAGGGCCGATGGCGCAAAATCAAAAGTCGTCAAAATTAGTACCTACCTATAGTAATTTATTACACAAAATATGATCGTTTTATATTAACGCCATCTAGTAAGCATAAAACGTACTTTATACACCTGTAATTAATTTCGTTGTGTGTGTGTTAAGTAGATGGCGCTAATATAGAGTTAAGTCCTCTAATTCTGACTAATGAAGCCGCGCTCATTGCTTTGAATGCCACCATACTGCAGTCATCAGATCATTTTCCAATTCCATTAATTTATCCACGTTTTCATAATCTCAATCATTGTTTACATTTCATGGATCATTTGGTACATTTTTTTTATATATCCATAAGATTAAATCATTTTGTTTTTCAGGTGGCTAGTGGTAATAAAACCGTAGAAAACTGGGCGATGAAGCGCCTTAGGGTCCACTACTACATATTCTCATACCCCAGCTTATTAAAGCTGCATGGAGAACCGTCCCTACTAAGAAGTCTAGACACCTTACTAGGAAATGAAGCCTTATTGCAGTTAGAATTAAAGACATTATCCCCTGCATTTAAGGACCCCAAGAAGAAGAAATGGTTTGAAGAAGTCATAGATAATTATTTAAAACTTTGGGAGAGTAATATGTGACGTAAATTAGTTACTATTTTAGTTAAATGTAGAATATTTTATGAAGAGAAGTTGCAAAGTGATTAGCTGTTCATTATTATAAAGAAAATGTTTGTTGAGTAGGGCTGACAACTCATGCATTGAAAAAGACAAAATTCGGTTGCGAATTTCTTTAATGGATTATCAACCTTATCTAATATTTGAATAATGTTTACATTCAATTCAATTCTGCGTGTGCAACCGATTTCTTTCGCTGTCGAGAATTCAGCCCTACTTTTTTTCTCATGGAAACAATGCATAAAAGTGATCATTTTAGCAAGTAATTAAAAAAAAAACAACGACAATATTTATTTTATTGTGAATTTTGAATTAAAAATATGTAGTTTTTAAGTACAACAATAAAATCGAAATGTATTCGTTAAGGGAAATGTGACTACTTAATAATGAATAGGTTTATACGAAAGAGGTCAAATAAACAAATTAATATTTTAATTGAATGAAATGAATCGATCTTGAACGACATGCATGAATATGATATTTTTATTAATTGTATTTTTGTACATACTTACCTATATATATTACATAGTATCACAGTGTGCCTTATATTCCTTCCAAAATAATTACATAAGATAATAAATAGAAGTTATACTAAATGCACGATTCCATTGCAGGCGAAAATTTTCTATCAACTTTGAAACATATTTTTTTACGCAATACGTACAAATATTCATTTAATTCGAAGCGTATATTCATTTTGGATTCAGATAGAAAAAAATAATATGCCTATAATCACAATCAATTTTGTTGCCTTGGACAACAGTTTTAAAACTAAACACATTTCCTCTATGATGCGTTCATTAGTTCAAAAAAATGAACGATAGAGGCGCTGCAATCGCTCACAGATGTGTTTAGGAAATATTTTCTTCCAGTCTGCATTGGAATCAAAATTACATTACCTTATTGAAAGACTATTTGAAATAATTATAAATTCTGTCCATTAATTTTAAAATAAAACATTTAAATGACAATAAAATATAGTTGTAAAGTGCAATAAGCGATTTCGTGACGGAGATGATGCGAGATCAAAAAACTGTATGCATTTAGTTTCGAATAAGTAGTTAAATTATAAGCTTAAAGTATTAAGGTGGTGTAAATATTATTATTTCGATAAATTAATTAATTAAAGTTATTTTGTGACTGACGTTGTTGTTTCATTATTTTGAAAGAGACCTGAATGCCAAGTTATCTTTAATTTAATTTAGGTTTGCGCGATGGACACATTCCTTTATACGTTCATATTCGTAAGTAGGTACTCTGTAGGATTAAAAATACCACAATGGCCCGTAGTAATTCACTACAGAGTCTATGCCTCGTCAACATACCAAGGGAAGCAGAGAGTATGACATTATCTCATGTCTTGTTATAGTACCGCAGCGTCCACAGGTCGGCCTGGTGCAGGAGAAGGGAATTGGAAGTATTAAGTCAGTAAGGGTCATTTTTTGTCAGCGGAGCATTATCAAATGTGACGGGGCCCGCCAAACCATCTGACGGGCCAATACCCGTCGGGGGGTTGCGACAAATGCTTCGGCGATACCCACCCCTACGACACATGGGTAAGTGGAGTGAGAAAAAAAAACCGGGCGGCGAGCAACCCTTACTCGCCGTCCGCAGACCCGGTCTTGCGGTGGTCAAAGATCGTCTCTCGAAGTCAGTAAGGGTCACACTGGCCTCTCGCCCCACCCGGGGCAAAACCAGCAATTTAATGATTTTCCCCTGCAAAAAATAACCTCTAGCAGGATCATTAGACAGGCTGCTACCGAGCCAAATATTCGCTTAGAAACACACTTGCGTGTCGCGATGGAACGCCCGGTTTCATACGTTCGATAATACCTACATGATACGATACAATATGTCACGATAGTTTGTCTCTACCTTAACAAAGTGAATGTATGAAACCGAAAGGTAGGCTTCTGGCGGAAGATACAGTAATATATTTCTGGTTTTAATCCTATAGTCGACTATTATGACATCCACAAGAGCATCATACCACACATCATCGGCCTATAAGTAGCCAATGCTGAGCAAAAAGAGGATAGAGCATTAATCACCGCGCTTGCTAAAGGCGGATTGGCGATTAACGGCGATTTCAAGCTTATTATTAGAAATTATAAGTCAGGTTGCCTCACGACACGAGGTTTTTCGTCACCGTATAGCATTGGTGTCTAAATAATCATAGAAAGAACATACCTACCTATAGCTTTAGATAACTCGGAAAAACCACATTGGTACTTGCCATGTTTCAAAAAATTATGCAAGAGAAGCGGGCTCCTTAACCTCCGGGCCACCACGACATTTCCTGACTATAGACACCAAGACACAAGACCTGCAAGAGCAGAAATTTTGGAAAATATATTCTGCTGTACCAAAGTCACACGAACATAACTTACAAAGTAGGTTGCAAAAATTTTTGGTAGGCAAAGTACCTTTTGCTAAAAGATATTTCAACAATAATTGAGGTCATAATAATTAAAAATGAATTCTCTCAGTAGGAACTTAGTATCTAACGTGGTTAAACAAACACTTCGCTAGTTCAAAGACCTAGCGTTATCTGATAACAGTTCCCAGTAGTTTCTCAATGAGTTGTTTAGTTCTCTAACAATGTACCTATGTAAGACAGAGTAGAACCGCATATCAACCTACGCTAAAATGTCAAATCTTAACAGTCTATTTTCAACCTTTTTTCGTCTTCTATAGAGTGGAAAATGGACTAGATTTTATAGAATAGTATAGCTTGTCGGGCTTGTTATAGTTAATAACGGGAAATTATCGCGGAAGAGGAAATGAGGACAATCTGTTTCTAGCTGGATACTGGATGTCTAGTTGTAATTTGTAATAGATTATTGTAGGTAGGTACCTAGTTGGGTTTTTTATTGAGTCATGAGTCATTTATGGTCGGGAAAAATAATAAAACAGTGGCAACCGACCGATACTGAACTGAATGTGTAGGCCTTACCGGGGTAATGCCCGAAGTGAGGCTACCGGAGGCCCAATCCTTCCCCAACCTCACCCCTGCCCAATCCCTAATATCTTCGGAATCCTATTCCCCAAATGGCCGGTAACGAACTCGTAAACCCTCAGGTGCTACAAACATGGGCCGCGCCGATTCGATCGTGACACACACTGAGAAACGGTAAAGGAAAACCTCATGAGGAAATTTGGACTACAGTGTAGTTTTTTTTATGCGATAGATCGGCAAACGAGCAAACGGATTCCCTGATGGTAAGCAATCAGTGTCGCCCATGGACACCCGCAACGACGGAAGAGTTACGAGTGCGTTGTCGACCTTTTGGGGATTAGGGATTTGGAGATTTTGGGAAAAGGAACGGATTGGGGTAGGAGAATGACTCCGGTAACCTCACTCACACGGCGAAACACAACTTTTTGGTTATTTCACGCCGGTTTTCTGTGAGGCCGTGGTATCACTCCGATCGAGCCGAAGCATGGCTCTCCCATACTTAATATTGTCGATAAAAGACGGAGAGGGCTACAGAGTATAGATTATACAGATACCTGATAGGTACCATCAAAATAACCAAACGTATAGCACTGCGTTTCTAAGAGCAGAAGCAGCTCTTGATTATGAGCCCCTAGCGTGGCTCGAAACCAGTCGAGGTGCTTGACAAGCACCTTCTAATATTGTAAACGTTTGTAAATATGGGTGGAGAGATGTATGGATGTTTGTTGCGCCGTCAGTAAGGCATAAAAATGCGCTTAGATATCAAACTTTAAATAAATTCAGTCTCATTAAAGGATAGATATAATATTAAAGTACCTAATAATTTCAAGCATACCTAGGTACATACATACAAAAAACTACCAATACTCTATAAATTTCAATAAACAAACGCATCCTAACTAATATTATAAATGCGAAAGTAACTGTCTGTCTGTCTGTCTGTCTGTCTGTTACGCTTTCCCGCTTAAACCTCGCAACCGATTTTAATGAAATTTGGTACAGACAATCTTTAGACCCTGAGACAGAACATAGGCTACTTTTTTTTCGAAAAAACAGGGATAAAGGGGTTGAAATAGGGGTTAAAAGTTTGTATGGGATTTCGTAATTTTTAAAGATAAAACCATAAAACTTAATATTCAAGCACTTGATAAGAAAGTATGAAATATTTGTTCTAGCATTTTTGAAATTTCGACTAGCTAGGGGGTGAAATAAGGGTTGAAAGTTAGTAAGTATGCAATTTCGTCAAATATCACGTCATAAGAAACAAAAAATCGTTTGTACTAGCATTTTGAAAATTTTATCAGTGTGATATGTAGTGAAATAGGGGATGAATTGAAGATAAGACCCGGAACGGATTCGGAACGGGATCTACACAGCCAACCTTTATGTAGGTAAGTATACGAAATCTTAACTATTGAACCTAGGAACATGTAATTTAGAAGTTTTGGGTGTATCAAGTAACAAAATACTTTCGAAGTATAAATTCTTTTTAATGAACACTCTGCATCGCCGTCGCTGCCGTCGGCGTCGCGCACATTCGCCGAAGTGCGGCTCGGCGCTGTCGTGTGGTGGGAAAGCGCACGAATCTAACTGGTAGACATACCCGAACGGACAGACACGTGAGGACAGAGGTCGTTGTCGGGTACGATAAGAGAAATTTGCGCTTCAGAGAATTACATTTTTCGAACCAGTAAAATTATTTTATTGTTTCGTCTAACTTTTTAAGTGTTTTTTTATTAATCAGATCCTGTAAATAAATTTTGCACATACTTAATATTTCTTTTAGTTCATAGTTACAACGTTACAAGTAGGTAAGATAGTGTCCGTTACTTTAAATAAATACGATTTGCTTTTATTTCCTTTTTTATTCAATTTATCTAATAGCATCCTACTTTTTTGCATTGGTTGTAAATAAGTACTCATCCAAGTAGGTGCAGGAAGGGTGAACAAAGCTTTATTAATAATATAATAAATCTTAATCTGTATATCTGTTTTGTTCGATTCATTTCATTTTTGTTGTTCTACAATGCCTCGCAAACGAAAGTCCAATTTAGCTAAAAGCTCTAGCAGAGTTCGGGCTGGTAAACTTGCCAGATCACTGGAATGAGACTTCTCAACAGACCCAAGCTCACGCGGCTCAAAGAGCTGCTGAGACGTCTCAACAGTCCCAAGCTCGCCAAATCATTGATGCAGAGCGTCACACGGATCAAAGAGCTGCTGAGACTTCTCAACAGTCCCAAGCTCACCAAATCTTAGATGCTGAGCGTCAAGCTTCGTACATAGCCGCAGAGACCCGCGAAGAAACACGTAGATGACGTTTAATTAAAGCCGAGCGGCAAACAGAAAGGAGACGTACGTTTACGATGAATACGTGGGAGGCATTTGCCGATGCTGCTTTTAGTTATGATCTGTTACTTGATTACTTTAATCATCGATTAGTCCTCATAGGTAGAATGGCCAATAAATGCAAACACTGTGAGGCACTCAAGTGGAAGAAAGAGACCCTAAGTATGTACTGTTCTGGAGGCAAAGTATCAGTACCAACGCTTGGTGACCCCGAGGAGCAACGACGGAAGAAAGGACAGCAATGAATCTCGGCGATTTTTCCTGTCATCATGCCTGTATTTTCACCCACATTTACGGTACAAGGGCAAGTTTATCATAGGATTGGTTCATTGCTTTCCACAAACAATGGTCAACCAAAATTTCTACAGATTGATTTTATGGGAGACGAAAACAGCGAGGTTTACCGTTGATGGCAAAATATTGAAGGAGATGAGAGGGACATTGTTTTAAAAATTCAAAGAATGTTACACGAACATAATAACCTCATTAATACCTTCAAAACAGCCTTAGAAAAAATGCCACGGGAAAATCACAAATTAGTAATATTCGGAGATCGTACGCCAAGCGGGGAACATGAAAGACGTTATAATGCACCCTTAATAAACGAAGTCGCTGCCATGGTGTGTGGTTCACCACACACCATGGCAGCGACTTCGGTTCGCATCGCGCGATATTGTTTTTCAAACCCATGATAACACATTGATCAGGGTGTCCGACACACACGAGTTTTATGACGCACTACAACACCCGCTTATGTTTAGCAATGAGCAAGAGGGGTACCGTTTTCAAATTCCACAAGAAGTATGGAATTTGAAAATGGTACTCCTGGGCTGGCCCCTGTAAGAGTCTCTTAGACATAAGGGACCAGGATTGACAAAAACTAATTTGACGCGGGCGAAGCCGCGGGCGGAAGCTAGTTTTAATAATAAAACGAACGCAAATAAACTATGTACTTATAATTAACTCAACAGTCGAATTCACAAGTGTTCAGAAGATAAGGGTTAATTCATACAAGAGGTGAGCGCGGGTTATCGCGCGAGTGAATGAAGTGGTCTGTACAAACCTTGATTTTATTTGACCAATTTTATATAGGACATGTTATTACTTACTTGGTTATTTCGCTAATAATGTTATACCAATTTTGAAGATCGGCAAACATTTTTAAAAGGTGCGTATATTAAAACAAAACCTTTTCAGAAATATCTCTCTAATGAGGTTACAAACATAAAAAAAATACAATCGAATTGAGAACCTCCTCCTTTTATTGAAGTCGGTTAAAAAGAAATCTATCTACGGGGAAACTATATTAATCTATTTTTAAAAATGGAAAATATTTTTATGTGAATGGACGGGAAACGAGCGCTAACCTGGCGATAGGCAATCAGCGCCGCCTATGGACACCCACCACCACATGGCACCAACGGAAGTGTCATGATTTCGTAGCCGTCCTTTTGGGGATTAGGGTTTTGGGGATCTAGGAATTCGGGAACGAGGAGGATTGGGCCTCCAGTAACCTAACTAACGTTTTCTATGACTTTAGTGTAGTTTTTGAAGTATCGGATAAGTATAATTAGGTAGGTATAACAAATAAAACCGTTCTTTGATTGGTACACTTTTCAGATATTAACGAAATTAAGAACATAAATTGCTATCATTATAATTATTTCGATAACTTTGTTGAAGACAAAGGTGTCTTTTTAATATTCAATACTTTGCTTTCTTAAACAGTCGTTCCATTCTACACACATCTTTGGTAGAATGTTAAGCTTATTCTAAACCTATTTTGAAGGAGATAAATTGTCAAATGACTTTCCCTCTCCCTGGACAGGGCGAGTGGGAGTGTGAGACTCATACTGACTAGAAACCACCTAGTTCCTTCTGCTCTAAGCTGAGGCCGCGATACATAATTTCGCTTACACCCACAACCCCGGCTGACGGGCTAATAACCGCTAATGATTGTAAACTTCCAAGATGTTTACGTATAAACACCTCTGATCTTTCAACTCGGCACGTGGCTTCTATAAAACTGACGCAACTTCTGAACCTATAATTATAGTTATAATATCAAATCATCATAAATTAAACTGTTGACTAATTTTGATGTAGATCAATAAATGCTCACAAACATTGTAAAATACTTTTTTGTTTTCAGAAAAACGTTGCCCCACTATAGGATTTTCTCCTGTGTCGTGGGTGCGGTTACAGGCATACAACTTCGGTTGTTAGGGTTTGGGTGTCATGTGCACATGCGCTGGATGCACATGACACCCAAACCCGGAACAGCAATTTGTAGATTACACAAAGAGTTGTTCCGTGCGGGAATCCAACCCGCGACCAATTGCCCAGCCACCGCACCAACTGTGCAGTCAAAAACTTTCCTACGACAATAGGTTATTTTATGCAAAATATTTGTTCAAAGTTTAATTCTTGTGGCAAATTTCGGCTATTAGGTAATAGGTACCTACCTCTTTTTGTCAATATGCAGATTCCTCTTTTTTCAGGGCAAAAAAAGAGCAAGCTCTTTGGCGCGTCAGACTTTTACCAACTACTTAAATCCTACTTATTTCTCTTTATGTCATCTCATCTTATCATCATTTTATAGGTCTACACCTATAAGAGACCACGAACTGCTAAGAGTACCTACGTGCCTACACAATTTGAATATGAAAATATTACAAAATAAAATAATAATAATTAGGTACAGACATTTAGGAATTATTATATTTTTAACCGTCGAAAACGTTTTTATCCGGACCAGACATAGTAACGATAATTTAATTGAATTCAAATTAGGGACGTTATCAGCCATTTTATCCCTGACCCATTATACTATTTTTTCTTACGTCAACATTAAGATGAAGACGAAATAAGATGACGAGTTCAGGAGTAAATACATAACCAAAATAATTTTATTGAGTAGGTACCTACTTGTTGTATATTAAAAAACATAGAATATTACGAGAAATTAATATTAAATTGTTCAGAGTACAAATTTTGCTATAATTATGTGACTAATAAATTAATTTTGATGATGAAACAGTATTAAGACATGCAGATAAGAACACAGTTCTAAGAAAGAGACAAAGATTTCAAACAACAGCATAAAATAAGTTATAATGTGTCACCGAAACACTTGTTTAGTTATGGAATACCAAAACCACAGACTCAGGCATAGTAAATATGTTTATTTTTTAATTTATATTGAGTCATCTAAAAGTCTGAAGATATATAGTCGTTCATCACGTGTAACAAAGCTTAGCAAACAGGAAGTGCATGACAGTCTGTTGCAGCAAACTAAACCACGCGTTGTCATGTAAAACCAGGGATACGAAACATTATATAAACGAACGAAACGATAGTATAAAAATGAAGCTGTAAAAGCCATAAATATGTCAAGTGACAGATAAAAATAAAAAAAAATGTATAAAAAATTGGCGCCAATTTTACTGTCATTTTTTTAAACTTAGTTTACAAATGAAAATTGTTTAAACTTAAAACTAAATTATAAATAATGAATTAATATTAGCATACAAAATGTAAGTTGTTATAAATACAAAGGTTTATCACCTCTGCTGCACTGATAAAACCATGTTAGGTCAAGTTCACAAGCTGTTTACTTTGTCGCGTTATTAGCAAAATGTGAAAAAAAATCAGTGTAATAGCCGCGTCGAAGCGGTTTATAACTATATCATGTGTTTTAATATGTTTTTGTATTATTTCATTGTTTTATTCACGTTTGTGTTGTGCTATAGTGAGGAGGATCTTGGATACAGTTTGAATATTGGAAACGCTATCGATGTGTTTGCGAAGTAAGTTACGATATAGTTTGTTGTGTGTTTATTATTCTAATAGATACAATTTAATATAGAAAAATAATTAATATTCCTTACTGCTATCCATCTCTAAGGATACCTACTGATCTTAAATCGGGTTAGGCTCGGGAGTTAATTTAAGTACGGGCCCATACATCATTAATTTTGTGACAAAATAAAATAGGTACATTAAAGTCATTTGAATATAATTTAATAACTACAACTAGATAGTACCTTTTTATCTTTATTTATTTCAACGTTTATTTTATCTTTCTACTTCTAAAACTCCGCAAATTAGAACTCCAGTTAATCGTCGAAACATGTCCCAACCAAATTAATTATACTATTTTTTTATTTATTTGACTCAATGATTTCCATAGGTACTTCATGACGCGCTGAAAAACACATTTCATGATTCAAAATGATCTATTTTTTAGATTTGCATAGATTCTATAAAATTAAATTCTCTACTTTACTCAAATATAAAAACAGAAGGTTTATTTGTTTATTTAAAAAAATCTTACCATTTTCGTATATAAAGAAAATAAACAATTTTAGCTTATTATTTAATTTTATTTATTTAACGAGGTAAAATCGCGTTTTCAACGAACAAAACATTAAAAATATAAAACAACAATTCGGTAGGTAATTATTTTATCAAACACTTACTTTGCTTGCTAATAGTGTTTTAATGAAATAAAACATCTACGGAAAAAAACCTAACTCATAGAAGAAGCCATTTAATAACAAGTACTACTTAAAACAATATAGATATTTTTTTCGAGATACCTAATTATTTGGTTATGAAAATTTTGAAACGTTTGTAGCAAGCACAATTTTTATGCTAATTTCTATTCTACATGAGACTAAATTCGTCTGCAGCTATGGCGACCTATCACAAGTAACACAAGTAATATCAGCAGACTATGAAGGTGAAGAAAGCGAAGACTCAATAGTTCCCTTCAGTGAAAAGAATATAAAAGTCTTCGCCAATGTCACGAGTAAAGAAAGCAGAAGTGACGCGGAAGGCGTCACTAGCATGGAACTTATGCTTTGCGAAACATTTGAAGATCTACTGGATGCATACTTTAAGAATTTCAAAATAGAAGGGTAAGTTTTGTAGGAAATCTTTTGTTTAATCTGGTTTCTCGTTTACGACGCAATAAAAAAAGCCACTAAATTATTTTTGTAAAATGTTCAAAAATTGATGAAGATGAAATCATACATTTTTCGGCACAACAAAGAACTAATAAGTGCACATTTTTTATTTTATAACGAACTCTGATAATGACTTAAAAGATGAAAGAGTAAATTATGTATATTACTCAAATGTGGCAAATGAAAAGTCTCATTGATGATTTAAACTTAAAATTCACTGACGTCAAAAACAACGATAACACTCTCCGTGTTATCAAGAAAGGATTACCCGGAAATATGAGTAAATAATAATCTCAAGTCAAAGATTATCACAAATTAATAATGAACTTTTTGTTTTACAGAACAAACAAGCCATGGAAAGCGTTCATGGGAGATTGGATCCATGACGAAATAATGCGGACTTTCGGCATAGAATATGACCTAAAACCAGATTGCTGTTTCGTATTAGTAAAATTGACGAAAATTAATAAGACTGTGGAATTAGGGAATTTACAAAATGTAGCCGTCAAGGGTTATGTTATGAGAGCCATTGAAGATCTGAACGTTACAAATACCGCCGACGTTAGAAAGTTTATGAAGAGCTATGGCACGCACTACATCGATTCTTATTCAACTGGAAACATAATTTACCAGGTAGTAAAAAGTATAAAATAGCTAATATTAAAATACTGCTAAAATGATTTAAAAGCCAACAGCGATTAGAAGTAATTAAGGTGTTTTAACACGAATTCCACCAAATTCTTCAAATATATAATTTCTTTGATGAGCAAAGATAAAATCCATTTCCTTTTTTACCTATGTATTACAATTCATAACATTTCAATTTCCAGGTGTTCAAATACAAAAGGCGTGGATTTGACCTATTGCGTTCGTACATCGCGATGCGCAACGCTGGACGTGCGAATTCTGCTAATCTAAGATTTTATTTCTCATCATATTTCCTCAAACAAGTCGGTGATATTAGAGTAAGTAGTAATTTGATACTGCAATATATTTTTCCATCTGTAAAGCACTAAGAAATAACATTGGTTAATTTAACCTATTATTTTTGCACATGTCTACAGCTTTCAACAACTTACCACGCTTATTATTCTATATAGCGTTTATATTTATCGTATTCCATGTTAATTTACAATGCAGGACATATTAGGCCTTCCTTCAAGCCAGAATAAGTACAAAGTGATAAATATTTCAAATCGTCATAATTATAATAATAGCCAAATAATAATAGGAGTGCCACAGGGCAGTATACTTGGCCCTGCGGAAAATTTACCCTACAAGTTTTGTATTAATCAATGATGCAAACAAATATATTTAACATTATTTAACTTGGATGTTTTGTGTATATCCACAGATTGCCAGCGGTAACAAGACCATAGAAACTTGGGCACGAACCAATCTCAGAGACGGACAATACCTCTACTCAAGACCAAGTCTTTTACGATTGAATTATAATGCAGTTTTAGTCCATAAATTGAATAATTTAATGGACACCGGAGCCTTAATAGGCCTTAACTTGAAGACTTTAAGGCCATTATTCAAAGACAAGCGCAAAGCAGACAGATATGCTGAAGTAGTGGAGAATGATTTACAATTATGGGAAATCAACGCTTAGATTAATTTTGAAAATTATGTGATTGCTCGTGTTAAATATTAATTGCTAAGATTTAAGAATGTTATTTAAATAGCAACCTACTTGTCAATTGTTTGTTTTGAATGTGTTACAAAGTTAGAAATAAAAGTAAATGAAATATCCATTGAGATTATGCAATTCTGTAAGAATATTCATATACGTGAATAACATTGTTAAATATAACCATCCAAAGATAGCATTATAAGCCACCGAAGCTCTGAAAGGACCAGTATTTCAATGTAAACAAAAATAAAAACCATATACTTGATTATTAAAAGTTTTAATTTATTAATACCTAGCAAAAAGACAGTGTCACATTATTATTAAAAAGTTTGACTTGAAAATACTAAGCTTGCAATAACATAACATAAACTAGGGTTACCAGTGAATAAATTAACAATAATACGATAGGTAACGGATAAAATAAAGGCTTGTATGATGATTCATTAAATGAAAGCACTTAAAGCTAGTTATGTCATGAATTCCATGTGATAGAAGATTAGTGAACCTAATACCTGCCTACCATACAAGTTTTAACTCCAGATTTGTAGCTATTAATGGAAATTTAAAATCTAATCACAATTGGGTAGTTTCCTAGGTCAAAAATAAATTAATTCGACATTTCAATACAATAAAATATATATCGACACACTGAATTTTAGCAAATTTTTAAGAAATAAGTAAATTATTTGACGCTAAAAATTTATGACGTCATAACTCAGTTTTTCATACAAATTTCATAGAAAATTAGTATCGTTTTTGACTTAGGATAAAAGTATTGAATTTGACTAGTTGGATACTACCGTATTTCATTTTCCAACGTCTTCAAAAACAAACGGAAAAACCATGGTTGAATAATTCAGTGCTTATTTGCTCTAATGAATCATTATACAAATTATTCTTAAAATACTAAAAACTAAATATATAAGAGATCTTATAAGCATAGAATGGACTTAATCCGTAAGATCTAAAATTCCTTCATCTTTAAAAGTTTTAAAAAGTTGGTCACGTCATTTAGTTTTGACATTTCATGTCTTAATAACCAATTCGATCCGATCTACGACTTTTTATAGTATAAAAAGTTATTTTATCATTCTTCCATAAAATAATAAAATTATATTTGATGCGTATTTTACTAAATTCACATAATAATTAATGAGTCAATATCTTCTACCTACCATTACATTATGGTCGAAACATCACACAGTGTCACGTGACGCCATTTTAGAAAAATAAAATTATGTATAAATACGTTTCAAATATAACCTTTACTATCGAACAGATTAAATACAATCTTCGGTTTTTTATATATAGGGTGACTGGTAAATAGTGACCGGTATATAAATGTGCTATGCGATATGAGCATTGCTTACGTCAACGATCGACAACGGGGGCTCGGGGGCGTACCTCGCCGCTAACAGCTGATCGGGCGACGGCCAAAGCCAGTCAATAATTTTATTATAATAATAAAAATCGAAGTAATGACTTTAGCAAAGTTTTCTTGTAAAAGTTTTTCTTTATCATGAGTTCAATCACGTGTTTAAATATCGGTCAAAAATTACCAGTCACCCCATATAATAATAACATATTTTACTAATACGGTCGCAATCGTTCAATTCTCCGCTTATTTCTAATTTAGGATCATCTTCGCCATCAGGGCTAACGTTTTTCTGCTAACTAGATGGCGCTACTGCAGCTTAAAGTCCCATTTGTATTTTTAACAGTTAATGACGTGGATACTATGCAACGTGTTGCGATATCTGCGAAGAACAACTCTTTGTATGATCAACAAATTGTTGCTCCGTGTTTACGTGTGATGTGTATGTGAAATCGTATATTATTTATAAACTCAGCTACCTACAACACAGCAGCAAAAAACCCTAAATACAAGTAGTAGTATCAAGCAAAATGAAAGACACCGAAGCGTTGAAAATTCGCTGTAAAATGGTTTGACACTAAGAAATTCTTTATTTGTCAAACATGAACTCAGCAAATGTAGCATTAGCGCCATCTGGCGAGCAGAAAACCGCTAAACGTTTAATTACTTCCTAAATAAATACATACATACAAAATATACTCCATTATTTATATTTTTATAATGAATATTTATTCGACTAATGTACTTAAGCTCTTTTTCACTTAATTATTATTATTTTTTGATGACTAAGCTGGAGTTATTTTTTAAAAAAAATTAAGAATTAAGTAAAGTTCTTTTCATGTTCTTTGTACCTGATAACATCTATTGAATAACGTGATTATCCCGAATTTTAACAAATCAAATCATGCGCAGTACTCCGCAAGTTGCGAGAAGGACAGAGAACAATTTGTTAAGACACCTATAAAGCACGGACTAGTGCTATCTCTTTCCCTCCTTAGGTACCGAGAGACAAAATTTACTTATACATATACAATCATTAATGTATGTTATTTAATCGTCACGTATTAATAATTTGTTAGAGTCCATTTAATAACAGCTCGATAAGATTTAAAACTTACAAAATTGGGGTTTACAATCTATAAAAAACACTTCTTGCATATTATTTTTGCTCCAAATCCTTAAAAAAATGAGTATTATAATTTAAAAACACTTCGGTGAGTTTACCTTTACTCCTGGTCTTGGGAGCAGACGTTTGGCACTTTAGTTGATTCGCTTTTCGGTTTTCTCGCTTAGTGTTAGGCGATGTTGGTGATTTCCTTCCTAAACCGACCCCAATAAGGTCGTTCTCTGAATTCCCATATTAATTAGACCTCGTCTCGTCTCGCCATTGCTTTGAACCATCCTCACTGTATTTCATAGGTACTGGTAACTCTTGTGCAAGCAAACTGGTTGCGAGCAACCCGTTTCCCGTTCACAAGTAGAAGCAGCGGATTGTTTATTCGTATCGATTTGAAATCGTAGTTCTGGAATTTTCGATTTGTTGTGTTAATATTAAGACGTAGCAATATTATGCAAAGCACAATAAATATGTAGTGAGAGAAAATAAACGACAGTATTTTTTTCTAAAAAGTAAATTACTTTATAATAGGTAAATGTATTCCTAACTTCATAAATTATACTCTATCAATTAATGTACATTCACTGCAATATTAAAAACTAATTTGTATTGCACATTTCCTGGCTTACTCCTCTTAAACACATACAAACACCAATTTTTTATCGCTACACAGGATCTTTCTGTGTATTATTCTACAAGTGCATATTCTTTATTTAGGTACTAGCGTCAATATTAGGACAAAATCATATTATAGGCACTCTGAAGGTAGGTCCAGAAAGTGACCACTCAAAAACATAACGTATTAAAAATTATTCTAACCTTTTAAAATTATTAAAAAAATAAACAACATGCCTATTATGGTCTATCGGTTGAGGTGGTTAACTGAAGGTAAACAATGTTGGTATGTCTTTTTATATCAAAAAGGTCGTATAAAATAGATACATAGATTATTTAAATTTAGTTTATTGGCTAACATCTATTAACAATACATATACATAAACATTTTTACATACAATTTTTAAACAATTTTTTTATGGTATAGGTCGGCTAACGAGCAGACGGATAACCTGATGGCAAGCAATCGGCGCCGCCCATGGCCTCCCGCAACACCAAAGGAGTTACAGTGCGTTGCCGGCCTTTTGGGGATAAGGGTTTCGGATATTTAATGATTAGGCGAGGGGAGGGATTGGGCTCGGGTTTGCGCCTCCGGTAACCTCAAAGACATGCCAAAATTGTGTACATTAAGCTAATTGCATGACGCGATCGACCATATTAAGTATGATAATAATATTGCAAATCAACTTACCACATCTTCAGCTTGATACTTGTGTGTGCGGATGAGTGGTTCGGGTATAGTGACACAGTCACCTATGATGGCGCCGCGGCCGTCTGCCCAATTGTAGACGGTCACCAACACACATTCCATGCTCTCATCTACCAACGCGAAAGTGCTGAAAAAGATGGAAAGAAAACTGTTATTGAAATATTTGTAGGTAAGTATGCAGATACATTAACATACACATAGGTAAGTAGGGCTTATTTGTATTACTCATTCAGTTTTATTATTTTTCAACCTACATACAATAATAATGTTGCTGTTTTTTACATAATAGATGTGGGTGAGTAATCCTCGAATTTGTTATAATTTAGTTTAATCAACAACATCCATCACTGGTATTTTAGGGATAAATCAAAATTCTCAACATATTTATTTTTGTTACCTATGTACCATTATGTAGTTTTTATACACGACGATATTTTTTAACACGTTGAGCGCCACGGGGACTCCATGTGGCTACGCTAGCGAAGGATTTGCCCTCCACAGTTAATAGTCGGCAGTCAATGCCTTAATATTACACATACAGCTAGCAATAATAGCCATGATAGGTAGTTATAAGTATACATTTATACAGGGTGATATTTTACCTCAGATTCTAAATCAAAATGCAGATGGACCGTACGGAACAATATTGTGAAGCGGGCGTTGTGGACATGGGTGCATGACAGCACTATAAAAAACACATTTTCTAGGTGTGCGTTAGGGTTGCCAGAAAAATAACAAAACTACTCAGAAGTAATTTCATTATCCTGTAAAAATTCTGAGTTCTGCACGGTCTATCTGCCTTTTGTTTTATAATCTGAGTATTTTACTATGTAACGATCATTGTTTAAAAATAACCTAAAAACTAAGCCTGTATATTGGTGTGTGTACATTGAACAACACAGACATACCACACAAACTGTCGTCGTGTGATCCCATCTTGTTGGTAGAATTCCGTGACGGGCCGTGCAGTGTTCCAAGCGGTTAAACTAAGCATCCAATAGGGCAAGCATACAAACAAGAGAAAAAATACACGTGCTTTTTTAAAACGGAAACTCACGAATAAATTTGGCGACTATCATATTTATTGTAGGTACCCTAGTTATTTCTCCTATGTCGTGGGTCCGTTTACAAACGTACAAATTCACATACACAAGCAACCCAGACCCGTAACAAAAATTTGTGGATCACACAAAGTGTTGTTCCATCATTGGGAATTACACCGGCGACACCTAGTTGCCCAGCCACTGCACCAACCATGCAGTTAATTATAATCTATACATAATATAAACGAGGAAGTTTTCAATTTCAATTTCAATCTCTTTATCTATAAAAAACAGCATCAAAATCCGTTGTGTATTTTTAAAGATTTGTTTTATACTACCTATGCTATGTAGTGTGGCATGTCAAAGTCAAAGTCAAAATCATTTATTTCAATTAGACCACAGAAGGCACTTTTGAACGTCAAGCAAAAAAAGGAAAAAAGTATTTCAAGAGCTTTAACTTGAAGCGTGTCAGTCTGTCCGTCTGTCCTCTAGTGAAGCTATTTGCTGGTTTCAAAGTGTAGTTTCCTATGGAGAAGAACGAGCAAGAAACTCCATGATTACTCTTTTTCAATTAGTTTTACAATTCATTTCTTTATTACATTATTTAGTCGGTTCCGCTATGTGAGAACAGTGTAACACTAATGTTTAAGAAAAGAATCCGAAAAAGAAGTTAACCTCAAGGACAACATATTTAGACAGCCTGGAGATGACCAGTCCCAATAGGCGGCACCCGTTCACGATACATGACACGTACACCAGAACCGCCCAACTCTACCATATTATAGGGAATCGAGCGATCCAGTGCCCGTGCCACTGCCAATGAGATATATTCGTAAATAGTGCACTATTCATCTATTCGTATTTTTTTAAATTATACTTGTGGTGTAGTTGACTCGCTCCTTCTCTTTACATTTCAATTGTGGTAATTCGAGACGCAATATTAAGACCAGAGCTGCACTAACACCAAAGTTCGTTTGGGATTTGATGTTTTTTTTTTATTGAATATGTCGGCAAACGAGCCGACGGATTACCTGATGGTAAGTAATCAGCGCCGCCCATGGATACCCATAACGGAGGAGTAACGAGTGCGTTGCCGACCTTTTAGGGATTAGGGTTTTGGAGATTTAGGGATTGGGAGGGATCGGGGGAGGGGAAGGATTGGGTCTCCGGTAACCTCACCCACACGGCGAAACACAACGCTGTGGTTGTTTCACGTCGGTATTCTGTGAGGCCGTGGTATCACTCCGGTCGAGCCGACCCAGGCTTGGCTCTCTCACACTTAATTAATATTCTTTACCCATATATTGATTTTGTTTTAAATAAAATTAATTATTGAATTTCTTTTATTACTAAAATTTATTACTTTGCGGTGCCCGAACGTTACTGCAGGGGTGTCGACTGAAAAATAAGTCGTGTTCTCAGCCTCTTTGAGCCCAAGTTATACTAAGTTGGCAACCCGTTCGGTTCGCATGTTCTCAACTTTAGCTTTTTTTAAATGTTATCTGTATTTTTTTGTGTTCGTGTATTTTTTTTTTCATTTGCACGTACCTATATTTTGGTGCATCATGCCTATTTATATAATGCCATCATCATGTCTATGTAAATTGCTATATATTTATTTGGCACCATAAATATTTAGCAATTTATTTGTAACCCTACATTAAAATGTTTTTGGTACTGTTGCTATTAGTATAGCCGTGGTGGCCCGGAGGTTAAGGCGCCCGCTTCTCATGCATGAGGGTGCGGGTTCGAAACCTGGCAAGTACCAATGTGACTTTTTCCGAGTTATATGTACTTCCTATGATTGTTTAGACACCACTGACATACGGTGAAGGTAAACATCGTGAGGAAACCTGGACTTATAATTTCTAATTATAAGTTTGAAATCACCAACCCGCATTGAGCAAGCGTGGTGATTAATGCTCTAACCTTCTCCGTGTGAGAAGAGGCCTTTGCTCAGCAGTGGGCACTTATAGGCTGATGATGATGACTGTTGCTACTATTGGTAATTTAATGTACGCCTCCACATTGGCTCGAATATTTTATGACGTCACCGTGCACTACCGTGTCATGCTGACGGGGGTGGTTTTTTGTTTTTTTTTTGTGAGGGGAAAATCATCAAATGACTTCTCGCGCCCAGGGCCGGGAGGGAGGGACTGTCAGACGCTTACTGACTAAAAACCCCCTGTTCCTTCTCCTGCTCTGAGCCGAGGTACCCCGCAACCCCGGCTGAACATAAGCCCTATAGGGCCCGTCTGTGGTGGTCTATTGGCTCTTTGAGACGCGCGCGGAACGCTACGCGCCGCGGTTTTTTGGTGGCTATGCTCGACGTTAGCGAAATAGCCTATTTTTCGTTTGTCGCCTATTGTTGACCAAGGGTACTTAGGGTACAGAGTAATCATGAAGGTAATACTTGTATTATAGCATAATGTTAATGAGCTGTTGGAACTTTATGTAGGTTTAATGAAGGCAGTGGATGTGGCAGCTAAAATATTTAAGACAAACATTATACTTAGGTAAGTAAGTAAAATGTTACTGCACAAGGGATTACAAATTTAAACTTATTTGTAGCCTTTGATTTATTGGAAAGGCTTAATCCGCGCTACAATTACTTTTTTCTACTTTGCAAGCTGTGTTTTATTGAGTATTTAGTAACTTTGAAAGGTTTTCGTGAAAGTCTTTTGTAGATAAAACTCCTTTTTATTTCGGTAGAGCGGTTTAAACCTATCCTGGACTAAAGTATGAAACTGTACATTCTAAGTAAACTATACAAATATAAAAGAACATTTACTTACAATGGCACCGCGTTATCGTTGTGTATGGAGCCCACAACTTTGCCTAGAACCACTTTGGCTTCATTAGGACCATCTTCTAAGGCATCCAGGCGAGTGTACTCGAGCGCCACCTCGCGGCGACCAGCGAAAGAATGAAGACCTTCCCCGTAGACGCCTAACATCTTTTTGTCAATGGCCTGGAAAGAAATGCCTATATTTTTGGGTAAAAGTATAGCAATATGTTGCAATTTTAAGTAGTTGCTGATTTTTTTAAATGTAAGACATAGGTAGTAGGCAGCTGCTAAATACGGTAATTATAAGTGATTTTTATTAAGTTGTTATCAAATAATGAATGACAATATGAATGAATTAATATGTTTTGTGTATTAAACAAACGAATTCTCGCCAGTACACAAATAAGCCATTAGACTCTAATGACATTTGATTATCAGTAAAATTTTGACTTTGACTTTGTTGGATAAAAAAAAATTGAATTAAACCGGTGACTTGCTAAAATAGAGTAAACCCTCTTTTTTAATTATGGAAACTTTTTAGAAGAACGGGAAAGAACAAGCTGTGTAAGTAAAAATGGAGTCGTTATGTGTACATGAAACAGTAAATGTACCTCAGAATCAAAACAACTTTACCTGCACCATTGTAGTCAGTTTCTTAGCCTTTAGTTTACCACGGGTCCGCACCAGGCTGTGAGCTGCATTCAAGAAGGTTACCAGTCTTGTTCGCTCCTGTTTCGGGGGCTGCCATGGTGGGTCCAGCCGACTGGCATACTCAAAGTTAAATAATGCTTCGTCATAAACCTCTGAATATTTTAAAGCCTGAAATATGCAAATATACCATTAAGCCTGCTTTACCTGATTTTAGTATTAATCGTTTTTATGATGGACGTAAGTGTGTGAGAGCCAAGCTTGGGCACGAATGGGTCGGCTCGACCGGAGTGATACCACAGCCTCATGGAAAACCGGCGTGGAACAACCACAGCGCTGTGTTTCGCTGTGTGAGTGAGGTTACCGTATGCCCAATCCCTTCCCTTTTGTCCATCCTTTCGCAATCGTTAAATATCCGAAAACCTTATCCCCAAAACGCCGGTAACGCACCCATAACTCCTTTGGTGTTGCGGATGTCCATAGGCGGCGCCGATTGCTTACTATCAGGTAATCCATAAAAATCCATAATACAAAAAAATGCACCATGCATGCCATGAAAAATACATAACATAGACAGAAGACATTTACACAAGAATCACATTCACACAGCAAGCTCTAATTAAATTAAAGGGATTTACTATTTACGTAACAACATAACAACAAGAGATATTTACGGAAAATAAGCTGTCAAGCTGTTATTTGTAGGAGAAAAAACGTAAGTAAAATAAAACTTACAATTCCTTTATTATAGTATAAATCTGGCTGTCCCTTGGCAACAGGGTCCAAAGAGGCCTGCTTATATGCACTCATACACAGCTTCAACGTAGCTGGATCTTGAGCAACCGTGAAGAACTGACACAGATAAGCGTTGCCCAACACAGACCAGGACACTCCATCCTTGATATCCTGGCTCACGGCCTCCTTAGCCAATTCTACGCTTTTCAAAATAGCCGAATGTGCTTCTGAACGTTTTTTATCACAATTTTCTTGCCGTAAAATTATTGAAAGACAGCGCAAGGATACACGGTTGCGTTCCTAAAATAATACAAATTGCATAAATTAAGCAACAATACATTTTTGAAAATTGATTTAGATAGTACTTATATATCGTCATAGTGGCTCAGGTTTATATGCACGAGGTAAAAGTACCTATGTGACTTTTTCCGAGCTATAATTATGTAGGTAGGTACTTTCTAATTTTTTTTAGACATTATTTAACGTGGACGAACGCAAAGTCGCCAATCCGCCCTAAGCGAGGGATGCGATTACAATGAAACAATGAATTTATTTTTGTAAATAGGCCATAAAACGGCACTTTTACACGTTACACGAAATTATATGTGTAAAACTAGATGAAGCCGGATGAAAATTAATGTTTAATACCTTCTCCATGTACAAATAGCACAGCAGTCTAATTGCTGATGATGATGATATGTATATAAAACAAATACAGCTCAGCAATATTACCAATTAAGAGCTCACTGAAAGGAACCTAAGTGCGAGAGAGCCAAGCTTCGGCACAAATGTCGGTTCCGCGGCCTCAAAGAAAATTGGCGTGAACCAACTACAGTAATTCGCCGTGTGAGGGCAAGTCCTATTTTGACTTTTCATAAGATTGTAACGTTTCAAAAGTATTTATAGTTTAGTTGGAATAAATAATTTTGACTTGACCTCCCCCTATCCCTTCCCAATCCTTAAACATCAGAAACCCCAAAGGGCCTGCTACATACTCGTAACTCTTTTGGTGGTGCGGGCGTCAATGGGCAGCACCGATTGCTTACCATCAGGTAATCCGAATGATCATTAGCCGACCTACCTAAAAAAAAAAATGTGCTAAGGAAAAATAATAGTAACAATGATTAAAAAATAATAATATGAGCAGTAAATGACATCAAAACTTATTACAAGTAATGTGCCTGCAGCATTCCTGCTGCCTGCATAACCTGCTTTATGGAAAGCTGCCTTACTCTCCACTATTCTGCTATACATTATTATGCTTTAGTCTACCCTCCACTACCTTTACCAGACATTAACAAACAGAACAAAAAAGGAGATCATATTAAAATTAGTTGCAACTGATCTAGAGATTTGGGTTAAGCGACACATTTAGAAACTCATTGTCATTAATATATATAAATATAGATAGCAGAAATACATCTTACATGTTTTAAAGCACCTTCAAAACTCGATTTTGCTTCTTTCACATTCATATTCTTCCAATAACTTTCTCCGAGTTCATTCCATGCGTCTATCAAAGCTGGGTTTAACTTAACAGCCTTGCTGAGGCACTGAGTGGCCCTTGCATCATAAGTAGGACTTATGTTATAGCATCGACCTTTCATGTAGAGGAATTTGGCCCGAAGTGAATCAGGTATCTGTGTATCCGCTGAAAATATTTAAAGAGATGTAATGCCATTTAACCGATATTTATATTATTTTCTTGCAAGATGGTATTAGTTAATTGTTGGCTCCATTATTTTTGATGATAGTATCCAATTGGAATAACAAGAATTGAGTATAATTAATGATATACATTATGATAGTAATCTTATAAATTATGGCTCCAACATTACTTATTGTTAAGTTGAGTTGGCTGGGACTCAAATTGAATTTAAAAAAGAAACTGGCATTTAAATAAACACATTTTTTAATTTAATCGTTTAAAACTATAAAAAAAAGCTTTTACCATCAATGGACTCAAATTTCTCAATTAAGACCTCTTTCTTTTCTTCAACCCGTTTTTCTTTTTCTGTTGCCAACTCAATTGGGTGGTTTTCGAAAAACAAGTGCCTATATGAATAAAGATCTTGAAGTTCCTTCTGCAAACACAAAAAAAAAGAAGTTATATGGATTGTTGTGAACAGTGAAATTGATTATAAACTGAACCACATTTGCACATTTCTATAAATAGTTATTTATTTGATTTCTTATAGCATTATCCCTTCAATCAGAGTACATAAAACACAAAGCTGTAATGAAATTTAATAAGTAATCACTGAACAATCTGGTTTATTACTTACTGATAAATTGTCCATCACTTCCTCTACATTTTCTAAAATATCTGCTTCTGTATCCGAATCTAAAGACATTTTTCCACTTCTTATTAGACGTCTAAATTAATAAGAGATTTCAATAGCAATTTCATTTAAATGCCGACCAGCACCAAAATCTTCTTTCTTTCATTGAAAACTATAACCTCAGAGCTTAGCTTAGCTTATTTTTTCTGTCAATGTCAAGTGTCAAACGCGTAAACATCTGGATTGATATTACGTTTTGTTTTTACATATAACAAAAATTCTACGACTTAATACTATAGAAGATATATTTCATACCAGCTGACCTGGCTAACTCCGTACCACCTTATTATATAATAAACTATTTGTTTTATAATTCACGACGAAAATTAACCAAATCGGTAGAGGCATTGTTGAGTATATAACATTACAACGAAAAATGGCGTTCAATACTACTTAAAATAATAATAATATTTTTGTAAAAGATTTAACAGTTTTGCACGTTAGTATTACATAATTTCTGAGGCATTTCCTTGCCGACTATTCTGAGAAGGAATTTTGAAACAAACTCAGAGGTTAGTATTCTCAAGCTTTACTACCTATCTTTAATGCCAAATTAATTAGGGTTTTATTGTAAAGCATGTGTAGGTCGTCCGCCCTGAGCCGGGCGTTGATACTATGAGAAATAGAACATTAAATGGAACCGATTGAAACCTAAAATCTTTGTCGTCCTAACAGGTATTAACAAAAGTCTGATAGTTACTATTTTTTCTATATGAAAGGTAACAAATTCCGGTTTCGTTGGTAAAAAGTCAGACATAATTAAGTTTAAAAAAACGTAAAGATTAGTTTTAAATGTCGCAAGTTTCTTGAAAAAGAGTCATCCAAAATTTAATTGTAGCTCGCTCGATATTGATTTTTTATTGTATCGTTCTGTCAAAGTCAAACGAAAAAACTCAAACGCATCTGTCAATCAAACTGTCAAATCAATCCTAAAATATTTCGCGAAAATTTCAAGTTTCTTAAAAAGCCGTGCTTGTGCAAACAGTTACTAATAAAACAAAGTACCTAACAATTATTTATCACAATGAAGACAGATTTACCTTACGGTATAATTGCAAGCTCTAAGACCCGGGTACGTTGCCTAGTATGTGGCGTACATATTCCTAAAGCGAATAAATGTATCGAGCAGCACACAAACGGAGCAAAACATAAGGAAAACATTGAGTTAATGAATGAAAATGCGATAAGTTTTAGTAACGGAAAAATAAACTGCAATCTATGTAAGCGAATCTTACCTGAAGAAGAATCGGTCACGCATCACATCGAAAGCGACGATCATGCAAACTTTATGGCAGCGCTGGAAGATCTCGTCGATGGTGAGTTTATCAGTTTGGACCCCTACCTGGCTTGCGAGAAGGACGAAGTACACTGCGAGGTGTGCAACAAAAATATTTACTGTTCCCTTAAAACAATTCAAGAACATGTCAATGACTTATACCACCGCTTCCAAATCACTGAACGTCTGAAACCTCTAAATGGCTTATTCCCAGCAGCAAACAATACTGAAGTCTGGTGCAAAGTCTGCAAGATATACATACAGGATAATGTTTTAAGTGTCCTGGATCATATTGATGAAGATGAAGAGCATATAGAATGGTTTTCTGAAATCGAAGATCTGATTGACAACCAGGATGTTTCCATTGAGCATTACTTGACCAATGAGCATGAGGAATGTGCATTCTGCAATAGGTGCCAGATGGATATAGTGTGCAATGCGCAGAGCATCCAGAGCCACGTCCACAGTGAAGCACATCTCAATCAGTTTGGCTTATAGGATTACGCCTCCCGTTCTTACCGTAGTGGCTAGTTGGGTTCAATGAGTATTATTTTTCAGTTCTGTTATTTTTCATTTTAACTGATTTATTTTGAAACTGAGCAATGTTTTGTTATTCCATTTGTTACAATTATCAGAAATATATCACTAATAAGAAATTTTATTTATTTTATTGTAGTTAAGTAGTTATTGTTTTTTTTGTATTTATAAAAACATTGAACTCAACTAAATGACTTGAAACATTGAATGAGGCAATGGATCAGCTAAATTCTTATAATTGAGAGATTGTGATTAAGTTTATTTTACTTAAGATTTACAAACTTAAGGACAATCTGCCACTTGTATCAGACAGCTATCCTTGACCCTTGAAGATGTTATTGGTCAACCTACGATGAAAACGGAATGGGGCTTTGAAACTTGGAATCTTTGCCACTTTTTACTTGTTTTGCCACTTTTGATCTAGTTTCCATATTAAATGCTGCAATTAACATGCCCGTAAAACTAATGGAAACTAATCCAACAGTGGTAAAACAATCTATTTAACATGTTATACTCAGAGCAATTCAATGGTTCACTAAATCCTGTCTATCATTAAATATCTCTGAGTATGTCAGTTAGATTTAAATGTGCTCTGTAATATTCACTTATAAGTGTCTATCTATACCATAGGTTCTTTGCTCAAAGAAGCACTGTAGATTTACAATTAATGCAATTAAACAAAAATAAATTAGTTTTTTCTAATTCAATATTTAAATTTACCTATTTATAAATATTTTTTATAACATAGATTTTGGGGAATTGACTGCTTCAGTGCTTCTTTAAGCAAGCTGCTTACGGTACTTAGTAAAAGTAACAGTAGTGATCTAGTTACTCAATACATATATGTAATCAATAGATCTTCTCTCAAATGGATAGCTCAATAGTTCCAATAGAAAATTATATTTCATGTTGGCTACATAACTGCTAATCTTTTGAATATTCAGCTTGCTCTAGAAATCTAATTATGTTATTTAAAGTAAGATACAAAAACCTCCTTTGATCTCAAAACGAAAATGATTTTCGATAAAGCATTGTAGACTGATACCTTTTAATTGTAGTTTAAAAAATCTTTGTCATATTCCTTTTAGCTAGTCCATGTAAATAGTTAGGTATAAAATGTTGGCTTAAAAATTCAACATTTCGTATTTCTATACATACGTATTATGTAATCCATAATTCATACAAGTTTTTTTTTATTTGTAGTACTGTACATCAAACTAAATATACACCTAGACATTTGCAAAACCACATTATTATTGAAATTAGACTCTAGCCTAATATGAGCATTAGCATAAGTATACCTACCTAAATTTAACTTGTAATTTGCCAGTATGTAGATCTAAGCAAGTACAATACTGTGGAGTCTCACAAAACTGCAGTCAAGTTAATATTTATTAATTTCACATGGAATATGAAATATATAAATGTATGTATTTACATTTATTTGCATACCATAATGTTATATAGATGTGAGACCTCTGCTGCTTCTGAACAGTTCTAGTCTATATTAAAAATTGATATAAAACCTTTTTGCAATTTAACCAGCTATTGATTGAGTGGTGATAGTTACTTGCCAGAAGGCATGTATTGACTGAATGACTGTTGCTTTAATAGTTGATAGAAGCTACCCACTGATATTCAAAAACACTGAAGTGTTTTTCTAACTGAATGTTTTGAAGAGGTAACCTTCACTTAATCTTTTCGTAATTCTATTTAAACCCATACATTATGATGTGTGCCCTGTTAATGTAAAATGTAAGTTGGTCCAAAAAACAAATAATAGCAGTTTGTCATTCTTCTTTTATTCATAAATATTATATTATAATCCAATTACAAATATGGTTATTAATTTATAAAAGAAAATCTGTGCTATAAAACAGAACATTAATTCGAAAAGAAAATTATTTATTTCGTTGTTTAAAATACAATTATTTTTTTAAAATACAAAATTATTAACTACCTGTGCTTTTAAAATATTGCTAGGACTTTTAGCAATAATTTGGCGTCCTGATTATACGTTTTGTTAAATTGTATGTCGTTTCAATAAACAATAAAAACATGTACTTAGGTAGTAAACTTTTGTTTAATTTTAATGTTGGTAACAATTGAGATTTATTTTTCATTTGTGATATTCTTTAAATAAAAAATATAATTGTTTATTTCAAAATAAATACAATCAAAAACATACACATGGGTTCTATCTAGCATACAGCTTTTTTTTATAAAATATCTACAATTTAATATAATTATTAACAAATCAACAATAATAAGAAGTAACTAGTACAAGCATGCAAATAATATTGTAAAGGTTTTAAAATTTATGAGCTTTTAATTTTATATTCATGTAAAACGTACTAATTAATCAAACCCGAAGCGAACGCCGGCGTTCGCGCACCCATTGTTCTTCTATTGTGTCTCGAATTACCATGATCGAAAGGTGAATGAGTTAAGACCTTTGTAGCCAATACTGATGGTCTTAAATGGCAAGATGTTGTCAACTCTCTGTGAAAATATTTTGTTTCAGTATAAATCAAATTGTATCTGAGCAATTTCTCCCAGGGTTATATTCAAAATATAATCTGTGTATAGCTATCACTAAAGCTTAATTTAAAAACTACTTAGACATTCAACATATAAGTACATTGTTTTTCTAAAATTATTAATTAATTATCAAATGGGTAGTCATCTTCGTCTTCCTCTTGGATGGATTGTAAAGAGGTATCAGCGCGTGTCCTTGGCGACTCTTCCAGAGTTGGTGAAGAATTAGGGCTGTCTGGGCAAGGTTCAAAAAAGTTTTGCGGAGGTTGTGGAATGTCTGTGGGAACCTCTCCAAGTCTTGAAACGATTCGTTCATCGTCTAAGCGCACGATACAGAGGATGTCCTCAGCACAGCACTCTATGCGAGTCATGCTATCCGTCAGATGGTTTTGCAATACTCTGAAAGCGGTGAAATATTTGAATCTACATTTAAGCCGAGCTAGAAGAGTCAGCTTGACTGGAGTGATACCACGGCCTTACAGAAAACCGACAGCATTCTGTTTCGCCGTGTGGATGAGATAACCGGATGCCCAAACCCCCTACTCTTCCCTTCCCAATTACTTACTGAATCTTCGAAACCATAATCCCCAAAAGGCCGGCAACGCCCTCGTAACTGGTCTAGTGTTGTTTATGGACGGCGCCGATTGCTTACCTACAATTAGGTTATCCGCCTGGTTGTTAGCCAACCTATCATTGTATAAAAACTATGTCTATACTCACATAATTCTTTCATGGTTAGTCCTTAGTTGCTTGCTGAAGTTTCTCAATCTGGCCAGCTCCTCTCTCAGCTTCCTATCCACTTCATCCCTTATGTGTTCTCCTGGAGGTCTCTTAGAACGATCAGCGAGCCTGCTTTCAACTACACGCTCTTGTTCCATCGTCTCCAAAAGATTTTGCTCCGTTGTGGTCATTTCATCAAGTAAAGCTTTGTAGTCTCGCATAGCCTGGTAGAAAAGGGCAAAACATCCGAATTGTTAGTGTAGGTTGTTAGAGTACCAACTTTTCCTGCCTAACAAAGAAAATGGAACAAAAGCAGAGCAATGAAAAAATATTATTTTCCTACCCACTCGTGTTTTCCGGACCTCTGCAATTCATTCATAAATAGGAGTATAAATGTTTTGAAATAAACCCCGTTTGCATTAGCAATTTTAACCCGATTGTGACCTACCTCCTCTTTCTGCCAATAAATATCCTGTAGTTTAATTTTGTTACTATTCAAACGTCTTCTGAGAGCCGCATCCACTCTCGCAGCGTAGGCTTGCGCTGTGATAGAAAGATGCACCCTGGCTCCTCGTACCTGGTCATGAGAAAAAACTAAGAGGAATTAAACTAAAATAAATAATTTGGGCAAACAAGTTTTTGGCATAGATGTTCATGAACTGTTTGCGATAGCATCGGTAAGGTGTACCAGAAGGCAAGATAGATCGGTTATCGGTAATACAGAATAAAACCCATAAATTTCGTCAATTAGTAGGTAATCCCATATACATAACTTTTTAGAATCCAATAGATATTTTTCTTAGATGCAATATTTACCTGCTGTCTAGTGACAATTGCGTTACTGAGTGCACGAAGACCAGCAGTCTTCAAAGCTATGCAACGGTTCTCCCATCGAGTAACTGGGGATGATCTAAAATACAAATGAAATACCTAATTAATCAGACATACAAAGTGGTTAACTGTAATGAACGAAGGGTTAGGTACTATGAGCTGAAGATCAGTAGAGCGCTGTTGTAGAGGCTTTTAGTCTTTAGAAGATGAATAAATCTAGTATTTCAATACACCAACAAATCAGTCTACCTATTATAATTCCGATTGTTTGGAATTGTAGATACCTAATAAGTTACCTCTTTTTCTTTTTCCTTAATCCACATTCCATTTTCGGTAGCATTCCTGAAGTAATTTTGGCACAAGCTTCGTCTATAGAAAGGGCTTGCTCTTTTAGGATGACATCTGCTGCTATCTTCTTCTTAGTCTTCTCAATCGCTGCAGATTGTTTCTCCAGTGCTAAAATCATTCTTTCAAATTTCTTCTTTTCGTCGCGTAAAAATTCAAACTCCTTGAATAATGGAAAACGGTTTCAAGTTACTTAAGATACTGACTGTGACTAAGTACTTAGCTAATCAACAGATCCGCTCGGGCTCTGGTTCGGAGCAGGCGAAGAAACAGGGTGATTTTTAGTCAGTAAGAGTGACACTTCCTCTCGTTTTTTCTTCTCAAATAATATCCTCTGATTGCGGGATCCAAGACGTATTCATGTCCGTGGGATGCGCCAGACTTAAGTGTTTCGGTGTTTTAATAGTTGTATCTACTGTAAAACCCTGGCTTACAGAAGTTGCAGCGGTTATGGGAGGTTAAGACGGGTTTGCCCAATAAAAAAAATGACACTTGCCTCTCGCCTCACCCAGGTGCAAAATAATTTGATGACTTTTCACTTCAAAAAAAAATAAAACTTGAACTTTTTTGTAATTTCAGATTGCGATGATTACCTATGCCAGCTTAACATCAAGGCATATTATGATCAGACCTTTGAGGCTAAAAGAGAGAAATACAAACAAGTACATAAAACCTGCAAAATGGCTTCTTCTACGCTGTCAGAAAGTGGTTTCAGTGCTCCAGGTTTACTGGCGTCGAGTGAATGTTCGTCTATTTCATTCTGCAGTCTACTGATGACAACACGAAGAGCGTTGTGTTCATACTGAAGAGCTTCTGCTGCTTCAGTCAGGCGCTTATTCAGATCTTCCAATACCCAGCGCCAGGATGCAATATCTGACATTCTGAAATAAAATGGTCATTCATTGATTTAAGTTTACTGGAGTTGGTAATAAAATAACCTAGGTACTGAGGTACATATTCACGTTATCATTTTTCTCGGAAAAGATTTAAACTTTGGAAACGTTGTTTGGACTGCGATTTTCCATGAACTATTCAATTTCAAATACGTGAAATAACGTTAACGATACTTTATCTATGTCAAATGGTATAAGATGGAATGATTCGATGGTGGAAGATATCCTAATCTTTAAGTAGGTAACAAGCGCACTCATTCGTCAAAAGCCAACAATGCACCTGTGGCTTCTATGGTATTCCCAAGGACTCACTTGATCTGGTCGCTTACCGCCCTTTTTATTCAAACCATGTAATCTACATTTAACAACCTACTTACTTCCTAAAGGTTTTTTTGTTATGTTATTTAGTTCCAAGATTTGGTGTCTTTACCTGTCTTGCAAGCATTTCTTGAACTGATACTCATTGCTCTCGTGTGCGAAGTTATTCAGCATTACCAGTTCCTGGGTGTCGTTCACCTGTTCCACTACCTTCGCGTTTAGTCTGTCATTCAGAACCCTGAGGTCTTCAAGCCCGTAAGCCCCTAGATAGCAGGGCTCGGCGATCATTGTCTAAATTTTGTATGTAGGTAGTTGGTATAATTTGTTCTGTAGAGAGGTTATGTTATGGGTAGATGTGTAAAAGATTGTCAAAATGACATTTCGTTAGTGTTTTCTTTTTCTACGGTTTTTATTGTGAAGTTGTAATAAGTTTTGTTTATTTTTGGATCTTTTTCTTATTAAGTAAGTATTTATTTCTATGTGAGTTGTTCGAAAGTTTAACGATATAGTTAGATAGTGTACCTACAGCAAGGTAATAATATCTATGCCTTTACCGATTTGGCTAATTTTAGTCATTTTAGCTGCTGCTTTAACAACATAATACCAATAAAAACTGTTTTTTTTTTCTCGGTTTTAATAACAACAATAATAACAGCTAGACTCATGTAATATTTTGATGTCTGAGGGTTGTGATTTTAGAACATTCGTAGCCAGCTGTTCAGTTCGGCATTGGTGGCCAAAGAAATTTTGTTTGTTTATTTTTAAAGCAGTTTATTTGTTTATATATAAAAAAAGGATATTTACAATCACAAAACTAAATGGAAACAGAAAGTAGACAAAGGTAATTAAAATACTGGAGACGAGCAGCCCTAACGCATGTTTACGTACCGCGCGGCTGTAGGTATTTATTTCTTTCAAGCGGCCGAGTTACAATACTGTATGATATTTTTACTGTGCCTACAGGGTTTGAGGAAGGTTATTCATTCCTAGTGTACTTATATATCGATTATTGTAGGTGTACAATATGAAATAGGCACTTAATACCGCGAATAAAACGATTTGTGTGAATGAAATAGAAAAAGATACGTACCTAAGTATATATTTAACACTTGAAGCATTTACCTATTTATTTTTACTAGCTATTGTGACTTGGTTTCACTCGCTGCTCGGCTGTTATTGGACGTAGCGTGATGTTTTATAGCCAATTGCCTTTCTCTGGTGTTGCACCTATTGCTTACCATCAGGCAATCTGTCAACCCTCAAACTGACACTTTTGAGATATTGACGTTTAAAGTTATTCCATTTTTTCGATTCGCGTGTGCTGCCTTAATGGTTAAAGTTACATAGAAATCATGCATCACGGGAATGTTCTACATAAAACTATCTAAAAATTTCCTATAAGAGTAGGTAGGTATAAGTCTATCTCTTATGGTTGACACAAAAACACGTTTAACTCCTGATAGCTTAGCAGTTCGGAGCATTCTTATATTTATTTACTTTTACGTGTATAATACTCTCACTTATCCCTAATTTAAAAAAAGGTTAAAGGACACTATTGTCTATTAAATAAAAAAATATGATAGAAAACAGTATATAGGTACGCGTGCACCTTTGTGATGCCATACTTCAATATAATAAAACTGTGAACATGGGCCGTTTAGTTATTTTACTCTCTCATTTTACAGGTGGTCCACGCTACATGCACGAATGAGTGAAAAGGTATAATATCATCCATAAAATTGTGGAGAAATTTAGCATCAGCATTGCACACGTGTGAAACCGGGCGGGTCGCTAGTTTAAAATAAATACAGTAAAGAAATCACGCAAACGTTTATTCATGCTATACAATAACATTTTTTTTACATCTGGTTAAATTCTATGAAAATAACGTAAGCAGGTTTGAGGATAACGAAGAAGATCAGCTCAGCTACGCTGATGATGCTGAATCCCAGGAAAAGACTGAGAAGACCACCGATAGCACCTGCAAGAAGAACAAAAAATTAAATTGTGTTTGATTTATTCCAAAGCTGAAAATACAGCAAAAAGAAGACGACTATGTCTTCCAGACAATTTAGATGACCTGTCTCTATTGCTTACTAGTGCTAGAATCTAAGAGAACCTCTGAAATAAAATATGGAACTTCGTGTTGAATCCGCACCCTTGGAGTATTTACTATTAGTCCATTAATCAGCTTGATGACCTCTCGGCTGAATGAGCCTAAAGTCGATCGTTAAGTTTAAACTTAAAAAAAAAAGATATCAAATAAGCTACCAACAAAAAAAAATTACCGTGGGTATCATGTTTTGGCAAGAATGGATCCGAAGTGGTATTTAACCACGGTCCAAAAGAAAATCGGCGTAAAGCAACCATATCGTTGTCGTGCTTCGCCATGTGAGTCCAAACCTTCCCAATCCCTTCCTTCCTTCCCTTCCCAACATTTGGGGATAGAGAATTAGGAATATGGGGAGATATTCCTAATTGTCCAAACTCTATCCTCAATTGCTGCTGGGAATGGTAACACACTCGTAGCTTCACTGGTATCGCGGGCCGGTCCATGGGCGGCGCCGATTGCTTACCATCAGGTATTCTGTCCGCTCGTTTGCTATACTATCAAATAATAATATCTTACCCACAAAGTAGTAGTCATCATACTGCGCATGTCGATGTTGTCCCAAAAACATGTCGTCGTAAAAATGGACATTGATCTGAGTCACTTCTCCACTGTAATCAATATGGTTTTTATCAGGAACTTATAATAGTATATTTGATATATGCTGCTGTATATTTTACAGGGGGTCTAAATTACTCGCTAACGACAAAATGGTTGCTATTTTCCCCAATACGTTTCTAGAAATTTCTTTTAAAGAACCTTCTCCTGATAATTACAGACACAACAAAAAAAGGAGTTGGAAAACTGATTCAGGATTTGAAACCCTCGACAAACTTTTATTGAAATCTGAAAGAAAAAGAAAGAGACCTCTTCTATTTCTTTTCTTAGGGCTCCTATAGCTAGGAATGTAACTGCCCAATTCGAAACCACTACTAAGCCCCAATTTAGGGTACGTAGGTATGTCTTTTAGTCAATAACAGGTAGGTACCTACTATCATCATCATCAGCCTATAAGTGCCCACTGCTGTCAAAGGCCTCTTCTCAAACGGAGAAGGTTTGAGCATTAATCACCACGCTTGCTCAATGCGGGTCGGCGATTTCAAACTTATAATTAGAATTTTTAAGCCCAGGTTTCCTCACAATGTTTACCTTCACCGTATGTCAGCGGTGTCTAAATAATCATTGGTACTTGCTAGGTTTCGAACTCACACTCTCATGCATGAGAAGTGGGCTCTTTAACCTCCGGGCCACCTTGAACTTTGACTACGACTTTTTACCTACTATAAAATATTACAAATTCGACTCACTGTCTTAAATGTCCCCATTTATGGGATCCATTTTCCATTTCCGCGGTCAGGTCTGAGTAGAAAACTTGGCTCGCATATATGACGTCATTGCAGGATGGGTGACAAGACTGAGACTCCTGAGCCTGAGATGTACCGGCTTCGTCTTCACTCTCAGCATAGTATGCATAAATAAGCTGTTCTTCTACCTTTGCTGTGAATAAGTACTTAGAGTTAAATGTTCAAGTTTTTCTAATAGTGCAAAATCTGGGAAACTGACATTTGCTGCGTTTGGATGCATAATAGATATCTATAATAGTAAGTGTAAGTTATGAAAAGCAAAGACAAGGAAAATTTATATTTTTTAGATACAACTGTTTTAATCATTATCAATGCCTAATCCCAAATCTCTCAATCTTAAAATTCCTAAACCCCAAAAAACATGCAAAGTATTCGAAACTCCTCTAGTTTTGTGGCTGAATACGGCTGGCGACGTCTGCTAACAATCAGGTCCACCGTTTGCCGTCCTATGTTATAAAAAAACATTGTAAGAAGTTTGAGGTTTTAGGCATTAATATAACTTTTATTATATAAAAAGTGAATATTCTTTTTAAGTATTAGTACTTTGAAATATTCTAGATAGGTTTACTTACCTAGAATATTTAATTCTTACACACTATTAAGAGTCAAAATAACACTAACCCCCTTACTAATAAAAAATTACACACATCTTATAACAGAGGTATAGTAGACTCATTACTAATAATCAATTTTTGACATTTCCCGCGTATACAGCTGTTATAACCATTGTCGAAATTGTATGAAATGTTAGACAAGACTTATTCAGCCCGTGGACCTAGTATAACGTGTGAATAAGCGATCATTTTCGTATTTTAACTGTCAGACTCATAAAATTGATTTTACATTATTTTTTTATAATAACTATCGTGAGACATACTAAATTAACTAAAATTCGCGGGTTACTCACGTGTAAATGTTGAGAAAAGCTCTACTAGTTTCGAACCACAGAGGGGTTCTTCCTCATGAGCAGCGTGCGCGGACGCGGCGACGTCGCGCAGCCTACTGAGTAGGCTGCGCGACCTACTGTGAGTAGGCTGCGCGACCTAGCGCGAGCTTTTCTCAACATTTACACGTGAGTAACCCGCGAATTTTAGTTAATTTACATTATTTTGCTAAAATGTGTTTAGTGATTGTGAAATCCGAAAAATCAACAAAAAAGAAAGAAAATTAATTTCGCAATGATCCTAACGATGATATTTTCATTAGAAGGTGCAGAGTTTATAAAGAAAATATAAATTTTCAAAGAAACACAATATGGAATTTATTGATCTGCTATCTCATGATATAGGTACAGCATAGGACTAAGGGTCCCCCAGCAGAAATCCATGCCTGCATAGCTTTAGAGCCCTGCCTTTACACGACAAAAGATCAAGCCGATGCAGCTGATATTCATGGAACGAGTCAGTAATCTATCACAAATGGGTGTCGCAGAGTATCTATCGTATTGGCAAGTCGTGTCGCATATCGCAGAATTTGTTACTTTAGAAATGTGATTGCTTGAATAAGTCATATTTAATAAAATCAAACATCCAGTGTCAGTATTTTTATATTTGTCGGTACAACCAGGTTGTTATTCTTAAAAAGGCAAAACAACAATCGCATTACTATTTCCAAATAAACATAATCTTTTCTATTTTTACTAGAACATATTTATATTCATTCAATTGTAAGTTTGTAATCGCCAACCCGCATTGAGCAAGCGTAGTGATTAATGCTCAAACCTTCTCAGTATTAAAAGAGGCCTTTGCTCAGCAGTGAGCACTGATAGGCTGATGATGATGATGATATTTATATTCACAACATCAAGCATCAAGCATAGGATAAAAATTAATACGTGGCATAGAAGTGTGACGAAATATCTGTAATAGATACAGATACGTATTACGAATACAATATTTGTAATACTTATTTATTTGTTCGTTCATTGATATATTAGGATAAACTAATTTAATTTCACATGTCTACTGGTCAGAAACAGCTGATTGGCAGTTGACTAACCAGAAGATGGGGTATGATGGCGATATAAACCGAAATTTTGAAGGAGATTGTGAAGTTTTAAAATTGTTTGACGTGGAGATAATGTATCTTAATACTTATAACATTATTTCACATCAATTATAGGTAAAGGAATATAAGATCAGCTGCCCTAATATTAGCTTGATATTCAGTAATAGGTATAACACCTATTATTATAAGCTGTTTCGAATATTTTCAGTACCTAATTGGGTTATCGAAGTATAATTCTAATGCCACGACTCTAATTTGTGTCAAATATGTATTTGACATTGATTAGGTACATTCGAAATATCAACATTTTTATCAAAAATGTTTCGCAAAGAATTGATAAATTAATATTTTAAAACTAAATTAAAAACCTAACCTTCTTTTTGTTTTACAAAATCAAGTATTTTATTGATTATTATAATTAAATAATTATAATAATACAAGAATATTGTCAAGAAGTGTTTCTGTTCGGAAGTTTCGGAACGCTTTCATCAATGTTGCTAGCAATCAGCAGTATAAGGAATAAATAGTTATTCAAGAGGTATACGCATTGTTTATTGGTAATGACTTGTATATAGTATTACTAACTCCCTATTCAATGAATAGCTATCAAAGTGTTAAACAAGTGCGTAACCGAACTTTATTAGTAAGACCGTAAGTTTTTAAGGATTTAATGTTCCCTCCTATCCAAAAGTTCGATGACTCTTTAAACATTACTTAATTCAAAAATCTTTATTATGCACCTCATGGGACACAAAATACATTATAAAAGTCCAATATTTGAATGATCATAAATTAAATTCTTCTATACAAACCTTCTACGCTGCTAATGCAGACGAAATCTTCTTTCGTAGTACAGACAGGCTCCCAGATGAATTTCCCTGAAAATTGTTTTGCATTTTTCATTTATATAATTTTTATAACCCTTAGCAATGTTCCTATTTCTTGTTAAGATACCAAAGTAAGAACCCTTAACGAACAAAATCAGTTTGTGATTGCATTTTATTCAATGTTCTTAATTTGTGATACAACAGATTAAATTGGAATTTCTTACACGTTTATTATTTTATTTATGTCATGGGTCAGCAAACGAGCAGACGGTTTTCCTGGCAATCGGCGCCGCCCATGGACACTGGTATTACTAAGGGAGTAAGTTACTTAGTGCGTTGCCGATCTCATAAGGGATATTAGCGATAGGTGATTGGAGGATTGAGGATGGGGGGGGGGAGGATTGGGCCTTCAGTAATCTTACTCACACGGCGTAACACAATGTATATAGAAAAAAGCGAAAGCAAAACCAGTATACACATCTTCAAAGAAATTCGCACTTGAGACGTGTTATACGCTTCACTTGCTGTTCGAACTGGATATGTTTAGACTCAGTCGAGTTATAGATATTAAAGAACCAACACAACATGTATTTATGTGATATGCCATATTTTTTCAAGCATACTAGCCCTAACGACTGCTTGGCTTCACAATTTGGTACCAAAAACCACTACCAATATCATAATAATACACCTTTGTTCTCGTCAATAGCATTATTCGTTGGAATGACGTTGGATAAATGGCTTTGTTGCCATCTTGAGCACCGACTTTACTTAGGCGGTGTGAAAAAAGACTTCGTACTTTGATTAATACCCACTAAAGGTATTATGACTAATCTGACCATTTCTTCTTTCACTAATTACCTTAATAAGTAGGTATCAATACTTACTAGGCCAATTAAAAAGCACGCAGTTACACTTTTTCCTAGCTTCTTGCACCAATAGATCATGTTTGCAATTACTGTCAGTGTAGAACTCATAATATTGAAGACGTTTCTCATTTTGGAAGAAGCATTGCCTTCTGTATGGCGAGAGGGCTCGGAGGGAGGAGTCCGTTTTGTAAGTTAGAGGAGTGACTTCGATGGTGGTCATCTTGTCCATTGGTAGACGAAGGACGGTGCTGGTGTAGACGTGGTCGGTCGGAGAGCTGATGAGGATCTGGAAGAGGTTGATGAAGTAAGTTTGTGTAGACTGTTGGTTGGCATCAGGTCAGTCAGGTCAGGTTACGTAGAATTGAAATGATTTAAAGGTATTAATGACGTTTTAAGTTCTGGGCAACATTTGATTTTAACTCCTATTCCAAGCAACATGTATTAAATTAAAAAAAAATTGTTCTTACAGTGAAACCCAAGCTCTTTCCTTCACAAGCGTACTGATGTTCAGTATTGTTGAGAAACAGCTCAACTCCTAAGCCATTAGCTTCTCCAGACGCCATAACTCTTAAAGGCTTCGTCGTTAGGTCTGGTGGAAACACCTTCGGATATCCGATGTCCAGACCCCAGTTTAAAGCTGCTGGCTTCGCATCTACGTCGAAGGTCTTGTGCCAAGATAGGGTGTCGTTGGTCCTGTGACAAATGATTAAAATGGCTTAAGATTTTGGAAACTTGAATGTATTCGAAAGAGCTTTCAAAAAATTTAATAGCACAATAAAATTAACATTGTTCAAAAAATCTTTCTAAGGTATTCTGCGCTTATTATGCGTGTGTTTTAATCTGTCAATGGCTTAGTGACAGAGCGGCATTTAGAGGGCCTTCGTGGGACTTCAAAGATAGCTTGGAAACTTGGGTTTTGGTAAACTACAGAAATGGGACTAGTTGAATGACTTTACTAAACCACTTGCGACAATAGCTGATATCGTAATTGTGTTCTCACTTCTCATTCTTTCGAAATAATATGACTTAAGGATTTTTTAACTAGACGAGTAATTTGAGATAAAACCACTTACATAGCGTTTAGTGGTAAACTATTGAAAGCGAAGCACAATCCGTAGTTAGTGAAGATAGGTTGGAACAGCTCGCAGCATTTGTCCATCTCCCATTTAGTGTCATGCAGAGCTGGCCAGTTGCAAGCTTTCACCACTTCTGGACATGATGGAGCTCCCTGGGAACAACGGTTTGAGCATTTCTAGCTTTTGTTTTATGACGAAATCAAGCAATTTCAATCGTTATTATTTAATGATAAAGTTGCAGATCTATTAAATAATTTTGAATGTGAATACGGGTAAGAGTACGAGTGGTTTGATAGAATTTTTGTTCTTTAAACTTTATTCTTGTAATACTTGAAGTCAAGAAAAGAGGTTGAAGAGTTGAAGAACACTCCTACGATCATATCGACACATCATCAGCCTACAAGTATCCACTACTGAGCAAAGGTCTCTTCTCACACGGAGAAGGTTTGAGCACACCACGCTTGCTCAAGGCGGATAAGCGATATTAAACTTATAATTACAAATTATAAGTCTAGGTGTCTTCTGCTGTTAAATAATCATAGAAAGTACAAAGTACGCATAACTCGGAAAAGTCACTTGGTACTTGTCAGGTTTCGAATCCGTTCTTTTTGACTCCTACGATAATTTTATTCAATTGTTATACAAAAAATACGTTTTTGTATTCTGGTAAAGTATGCTATAAAATATTAAATGATAATACCTGTGCAACAAAATCAAATAGCATATGAATCTGCATATCATCTAAACGGGAACTCCTATATTTATTATCCTTCGGCATCCTTGGGCAAACCATGGCCGCAAAGAATTCTTGTATTCTGAAACATTATATTGTAAACTCCAATTATACCTAGCTTCCTAGTTCATAGAAAATTGTTGTCCAGTGTAATATTTTCTACTAAAAAAAGCTTTCGCATTTTGATCCAATCTTGTCGAGATTGCACTTTGAAAATGATGAATGAGTTTCTGTCTAAATTCATTATGGACCTAGAAACTAGTTTCTAGATAGAATTTCTAGCTGGAAATGTACATAATAATATAATAGATGATTGTATCTGTGCGTATTGAATTATGTTTTTGTAATAATTAAATATCAACAAATTGAAGTTTTTTAAGTTTTTAAGGATTGGATTTGCTAGGGCCAAAGCAATTATAAGTAGGTTAATGTGGTGATACGAATTTAAAGTTCAGCGCAATAAAAAAAAAGTATTGAAAAGTAACTTTTAATATCGAAATTGTAGAATCCTTTTCTTATTTATGTTGGAAAAACTTTTAGAGACTTTAAAATGAATATGGTGGCAAAAGAGCGAACAGATTATTATCAATCGCCATCCCGGTTTTCTGTGAAGCCGTGGTACCGTTCCAGGCAAGTAGGCACCATTTGTGGCAAAGTTCACTATCCTACACTTAGAATGTAATCATTGTCTGACTATTAATAATCCGGTCGTGACTTTTACTTACCCCTGAAGCTCCGAAACATTAGCATAAGACATCTTAACATGTAGATGGGGACATATCACGACGGTTGGAAATGGAACAGCCCAAATAGGAGTGGGGACAGAGTCGATGACATTAACGAAGGGTGTGGAAGTCCACTTGCAGAACAGCTGGATGATGACCACGGCACAGATGAAGATGCTGATGAACATGATAATCACCCATGTTGCCTTTTCTTTGTTTCCAAATGTAGGCTCGAAGATGTATCTAAAAATGAAATGTATTTTGTATTATTAGAGCATCCATCCGTTATATATACACATTAAGTAATTGACAAAATACATGTAGCTAATAAAATGGACAAGAGTAAACGTCTGGGTCCAGCAGAAGGAGCTATAGAGTTTGATGATGATAAAGATAATAAAAAAAGATGAGAAAGCGTGCCAAAACTTATCACCGATTTATTCCCGTCAATCAATAAAATTGAAAAGGCTATGAAAAAGACAGATGAAGAAGAGTCTCGTTATGACTTGAAACAAATAGAGATTATCTCGGGAAATTCACATGCCTATGACGTTAATTTTTAATCAAAAATATAATATATTTCGTATATGAGTAGAAGAGAAGAAAAAACTGCTTTTTTTATTGATTATAGGCTCGCGCTTGACCGCTATCTCACCTGATGGAAAGCGACGATGCGGTCGACGATGGAGCGCGCTTACCTAGAAGTAACCTATTCACTCTTGACTTAAAGATACCCGGATTGTAGCTATCAGGAAACACCGACTCCGGCAAGGAATTCCACTCCTTGGCTGTACGCATGATGAATGTGCTCCCAAAACGTTTTGTACGTATATGTGGGACATCCACCATGTACCGGTGGCGCAATGCCGTACGTCTGGTGGTCCGATGATGGAACGGGCTAGGCGGAATTAAATTATGTAATTCCAACGCACATTCCCCGAAATGCAACCGGTAGAAAACCGACAGGCTAGCAACTCGGCGTCGATGCTCAAGACTTTGAAGTCTCGACTCGACAAGTGCATCATCGCCAATGATCCTCTTGGCTCGCCTCTCAATAGATTCAAGCGCATCAAGTTGGTATCGGGCAGATCCGTCCCAAAGATGAGAGCAGTACTCCATAACAGATCGAACTTGCGCCTGATAAAGTTTAAGCAGCTGTTCCGGCGTGAAGTATTGTCTAACCCTTGCGAGGATTCCCAACTTTTTTGCTTATTATAATCTAACACTTTGAACAGACTTTGAAAGATATAACAGCACAAGTATCAGTGAATACTAATACCACCCGAGTAACATCCACCTCGGCAACATGTATAGATAATATATTTTGTAACTGTAATTATTTACATAAGGATATAATAAATACCTTACCATCAGACCACAGCGGGTTAACAATGAACCTTAACAACATCACAAAGGTGCCAAAAAAGGAAATAATGTTTAGGCAAATCACAAATAAAAGGGTTGAGTTATTAAATAACAATTTGAAACATAAATTATGCAGCCCATCACATGATTATGAAGGTCCAAGTGAGATTTATGACAATCTACTGTCCGTGATTAAAACCCAGTTTGATAAAATATTCCCCTTAAGAAGAAAAACAATTGAGTGTAAATTTGTATTCTGTGATTGGGCCACACCAGGTATTCGTAGAAGTAGGGAAAGGTTATTTGAGCTATATGGTATGAAACCATTTAATACTACTGAAGCCTTCAGCCAGCATGTGTCCAAATATGCAAAAATATTTAAAACAGTCTGTAGGCAAGCTAAATCACTTTATATTGGCAATAAGATTAAGAATGCTGAAAATAAAACAAAAGCTACGTGGAAGGTAATTAATAGCGAGACAGGCAAAAATAAATTGCATAACACGGAATTTAATTTAAATACGGATAATGGACGAGTTAATACTAATCAAGAAGTTGCCCAAGAATTCGAATTTTTTTTCAAGAATATCCCCATTAAAACTACGAAAGACTTAGAATCATCTCCGGCACTTTCTATTAGTCTTCTTAAAAGAAATGTTAAAGAATGCCGTTCTGGCTTCCGATTTCAGTACACGGACCCGCAATCGGTAATAAAGGCGTTTAAAGACATAAAAGTTAAGTCTACAGAGGATCTATGGGGAATGTCTGTTGCGGTGTGTAGGTCTTTTATAGAAGCTGTAGCGCCTTATTTAGCTTTAATTTTTAATAAAAGTGTAGATCAGGGAGTTTTTCCAAATTTGATGAAACTTAGCAAGGTAGTTCCGTTGTTTAAATCTGGCGATGACAATGATCCCAATAATTATAGGCCGGTATCAATTTTACCAGTGCTTAGTAAGGTGTTTGAAAAGCTAATACTTTCTCAGATGCTACGACACTTTAACATAAATTCCATATTTCATGACCAACAATATGGGTTTACCAAGGGTCGATGCACAACTGACGCCGGTGTAGCTCTACTCAAGCATATTTTTGCCTCATGGGAAAAGTCAAACGACGCTATTGGGATTTTTTGTGACCTGTCTAAAGCTTTTGATTGCGTTGAACACGCGACACTGTTGCTGAAGTTAGAACACTAGGGCATTCGAGGGGTATCTCTCAATTTATTAAAATCATACCTGCAGGATAGGCAGTTCAAAGTACAAGTAAATAAAGTGAACTCCCAGGGTTCTAGCATATCTATGGGCGTACCACAGGGCTCGATATTAGGTCCTTTCCTGTTTTTAGTGTACATAAATGATTTACCTCATTTATTTCAACGTGAACCGGGAATGGTATTATTTGCTGATGACACATCGTTGATTTTTAAAATAAATAGACGGACAGATAATTATGACGACGTAAATAATGCTATTACGAAGGTTCATAATTGGTTTACAGTTAATAATTTAGTCCTAAACGACAAAAAGACAAAGTGTATACGTTTCAGTTTGCCAAATGTTAAAAGTAACGAATGTGACATATTATTAAACGGTAATAAATTGGAATTTGTAAAACAAACTACTTTTCTGGGTATAACCATAGATGGCAAACTACAATGGGGGCCCCATATCACATCTCTGGCAGGACGGTTGAGCTCTGCAGCATTTGCTGTCTGGAAGATCCGACAGCTAACAGATGTGGACACTGCAAGACTGGTGTACTTCAGCTACTTTCATAGCATTATGTCGTATGGCATCTTGTTGTGGGGACAGGCTGCTGACATTGGGTCTATCTTTGTCTTGCAAAAGCGTGCCATCAGAGCTATTTACAACCTAAAGCGTCGTGAGTCTCTTATAGAAAAGTTTAGAGAGATCAATATTATGACCGTGCCATGTCAGTTTATTTATGAAAACATTATGTATGTTAGGAAAAACTTAAAAATATTCGATAAGGTGTCAGATATACATAATTATCAAACTAGACATAGAGATAGATTATGTCAGCCATTATTTAAATTGGCAAAGGTACATAAGTCGTTCATGGGATTCTGTGTTAAATGTTATAACAAAATCCCAGGCGAAATACAACAATTAAATGAAAGAAATTTTAAATTATGTGTAAAGAAAACTTTATGTAGAAAAGCATACTACACACTGAATGATTACATTGTAGATAAAGATGCTTGGAGACATGCTGGTCCTGCTCCATAGGATAGCAAATCTACACCAAAATAAATAACGTTCCAGTGGATTTTGCTTGAACGGGACTTCTTCATTTTAGTGAAATTGCATTACATTGTATAACTATAACTTGATAAGTTTGTAAATGTGAGTGCCCTGTAACCTATTATAATTGGTTAGACTAGCAGAATGTCGGTCCTTATAACAGCTTGGAGTTGTCATGCTCACTGAAAAGTCACACTGGCGGTGGGATGGGCGCTGGATCGCTTAATTCCCTATAATATGGTTGAGTTGGGCGATGCTGGTGTACGTGTCATGCTCGTGAACGGGCGCCGTCAGTTGGGACTGGTCAGCTCCGGACTGTCTATTGTCCTTAAGGTTACTTTATTTTTATATTTGATTAAATATTAGTGTTACAATGTTCTCACATAATTGAACCAACTGTTTGTAAAAAGAATCTGTATGTAAAACTGATTTAAAAAGAGTAACCATGGAGTTTCTTGCTCGTTCTTCTCCATCGGAATCTACATTTTGGAACGAGCAAATAGCTTCACTAAGAGGACTGACCGACAGACTGACAATATAGCTTCAAAATTTTTGTTTGACGTTCAAAAGTGCCTGTAAAGGTCTAATTGGAATAAATGATTTTTGACTTTTGACTTTTTTGACCTTTTTTGACTAATTTTAATCCCCGGAATTTTTTACTTTAAATTTTGTGACTGCATCAAACAATATTTAAAAAACAAACACCAGATATCTTAAAGCACTAACTTGACTCCATGCAGCGATCCTTGATAGAAGAACTGCTTCAATCCTTTCATGACTTCACTGATCCATTTCTCCAGCACAGACTTCGGTCCTAGCTTCTCATTAATAACAACCTTCTCAACATCTTTATTATTGATCTTATTTTTATTTAAATTCACAACATCAGGACTTATGTACTTAAAATCTTTCAAATAGAAATCTCGGAAATAAAGATTTTCTTCCACGGACAAATTATTTGGTATACTGTTGATTTGGTTTATTTTGTTCTTGTGATATTCGAACATTTTATTGAAATTGATTTTTTTATATTGATTTAATTTGACCTAGTTGGTTCCTGATCGAGCCTGAACAAGGAATTGAGGATATAGGTAAATGTAGATCTGATGCTAATGGTATTGTAGTACTTGTATTAATTGGAGTAAATACTGTTATTGTGTATCAAAGGGTGACTGTCTGTATGTTTGCTTGTTTGTTGATTTGTATTTTAGGTACCTAGGTATTTTATTTTAGAATCGAGTCACTTGTTTTGAATTTATATTCTCGTTCTAATATTAATTTTCCTGTTTAATAAAATGTCTGTTATCATTATTAAACAGTCGATATTCTCTAAAATTTAAATATTTATGACTAAAGAAATGATGGGTAGTTATGTACCTTTACGATATTTTTATTAAAATAATATGACTTAAATTGAAAATCTATCTTTTTTTACTTGGACATCAATTAATTTTAAGTTTTGGATAAAACAATTGGTTTCATAACTTGCTTTATTGTTAATGACTGCTACTTTAACTACTAAGTTTTGTCTTCTAAATAAGAGGTCTTGCACTTTCATATATGTACATATACACGTATATTGGTCTGCCTATGTCCAAAATAGGAAGTCGTGAGCCTATTAGGTACTACTTATAACAGAATAACACACGGTAACATATTTCTTACACAGATCATTTAAAACGTTCTGAAATCCGAATAAGACATATTGACTTTAGCAACAACCTAAGCAAAAATTCGATTTTTAATAATAATAACAAAAAATACAGATACTCAACTTTGACGACACGTGGTGTTTCTCTATTACCTTTACATTACATTTTCACAAACAAACCCGCGTGAAAAGCTTAGACCACGAAGTGACAACCCATCAATATCTAGCCGCATTAACATGCATTGTGTGCACTTAACAGTATTGCTAGCATTCAACGCAGTCCACCATTTCTGCTGATATCATTATTTACCACAATATATTGTTACATTCCTAATTAACTTACATGAAAAAGTTATAGAATCAGACTGAAATACATCTTATGTCCAATACCTATTGACTTAGTTATCTATTGTAAAGAGGTAAAATTTGTAAGTGTGCATGTAGGGGGTAATCCTTAGAAACGCTGGTCGGATTTCCAAAATTCTTTTCCTTATAGATAGCTGTAATGTTCCCGCGTGCTATATGCTATAAAACGCTGTTGATTTCCCGGAAATTCCGGAATGTATTATTTTATACGCGTGCTAAGCCGTGGGCGGAAGCTAGTTTAAAATAACTTTCATCCGGATTTCCTCTTATAATAAACAATAATGTATCGTTACCCCATCTCTGCGTAGGTAAAGAACGGGGTGGGTTTTAGTCAGTAAAAGTCGAAATATCCAGTCGGGATCGTGGGCCGCGGCCTAGGCCTCGGCTGGAGAAAGAACGTCAGTTAGTCAGTATGAGTCTGACACTCCTTCTCGCCTCACCTTGGGCGGGAGAAGTCATTTGCACTAACAATAACAAAAAAAATATAGAGCAGGAACGGGGTGTTTTTACAAACCCTCCCCGCTCCCTAAATCTTCAAATCCATAATCTCTAATAGGTCGACAACGCACTTGTAGGTCCTCCGTTATTGCGGGTGTCCATGGGCGGCGCTGATTGCTTACCATCAGGTAATCCGTACGCTCATCTGCCGACCTATCACATGAAAAATGTATTTCTATTTAACTTTACAATCGGCATTTGCCTACACGTACATATAGACAGACATTGTTATTCTATGGTAATGCGAATATACAAGCAAGGGTAAGCTATGACAGAAAAAGTTATACCGTGTTATTTTAAGTTGTAAAAAAACTTGGAATACAAATATTGATATTAAACCTTTCGTTAGATATTGTCTATCGAAAGTTCTTGTTTATTTTTTCGTTTTGTATTGAAGTTTTATTTGTACGTATTGGAATTTTATTGGTATGTTGATTTGTTTTCTATTTTTCTTGTAGAAAAAACATTGGAGGGTAGTGAGGAATATTGTTTTGTAATGTACGTGGGACGATATTGTTATTTGTGTTCGTCTTCTAGCGAATTCTTTCTGATTTCTAACTAATTTCCACCATTTTTTTATGTGGTTTATCGACAAACGCTGCGTACGGATCGCCCGATTTTTTTTTTGTGAGGGCAAAATCAGCAAATGACTTCACCCGCCCCGTGTCGGGCGGCAGGGAGTGTCAAAATCTTACTGACTAACCCTGTTTCTTCTCCTACTCTGGGCCGAGGTCGCGATGCCTCATTGCGCTTACCCCGCAACCCCGATCACCCGATGGTGTGCAATCGACGACGCCGGTGGACACTCGAAATACACAAAGGAATTCAATTGCATGATCGGCTTGGAGATTTGGGCTTCAGTGAATCTAAGTTCAATCTAACATAAAATTCTGCACGGTTGGCGCAGTGGCTGGGCAACTGGCTGCCGCGCCAAATGTCGCGGTTTCTGTTTCCACAGGGTACAACAAATCTTTGTGTGATCCACTAATTGTTGTGGATGTGATGTGTATGTGATATCAAGTGAGACAAATACTTATTTAAAAAAAATCCGAAAATATGTAGATCAACTCCCATCCCAGTTAGCACTATGTTTTTACATACAGTTTGACAGACAAAACGAAATACGCGCTTACAAAATAAAACTACAAGCGAATCTTTTATCTACCCTAAAAATATTCGCGGGGGTGAAATAAAAAATTCCGACAACGTTTCTCCGGCCATTTTTAATTAAGCCGTCGATTTTTTTAAAAGCTTCAAAGGGCATTGATTGAATATCAGACTTGATTTGATTTATTCTAAGTATTTGATGTTGCTTGTACTGTCAAGGGGCTAAAACCGGACATCCGCTTTTAAAAAGTAAAAAAGTTTTTTTTTATAATGTTTTCTTTCATAGATCCATTTATGTGGCAACCTTGTCTGTGGTTATGATTATATCCTGTGCTATTATTGATAGGAAAATATATGTACACAGTGTGGTATGGTTTTTATTTTTCGAATGTGTAAGTAGATTTGTAGATATCGTAACTAAACATTATAATGTATTACGGCTTGTTTTAACTGACTGCAAAAAAAGGAAAAGGTTCTCAATTAGATCGTATTTTTTATGAATATAATAATATAGATATCGCATATTTGCGAAATTTTTTTGATGTGATTGGATGGTAAACGAGCAGGTGAATTACCTGATGGTAAGCAATCAGCGCCGCCCATGGACAACGGAACAACGGAAGAGATACAATTGCGTTGCTGACCTTTTGGGGATTTAAGGATTGGGGGAGAGAGGGGAAGCATTGTGTTTTCGGTAACTTTAATCACAAGGTGAAACACAATGCTGTGGTTGTTTCACGCCAGTTTCCTCTGACCCATTAGTGCCCAAGCTTGGCTCTCCCACACTAGGAAAAAGATGTAATAGAAGAATCTAGAAAGATAAATATTATATCTACTTATTTATTTTATAAAGCGTTTTTGTTTTTTTTTGTATTTATTTTGGAGTCGGTTGTTAATTTGTTCTTTTAGTTTTAAATTTGCTTTTCTCTTGAACCCCTTTGCATGTAAGGGAAAAAAGGGTTGCACATAATAAACGTAATTGTTATGCGAAGTGTTCTGTAGATATAGATATTGTTACGTGCCTGACGTCACGTTCCTAACTATGCGGGCTTGGGTTACGGGATTGGATGAAATTAAACACTAATACCGGTTTTCAGACTTTCTATTGCACTTAAGTGACAGCGTCCACGGATACGGATAAGTTATCGGCGTTCCTCTCCAGCAGAGTCCGGCCGACTGACACAACTTTGCCGTTCACTGTTCACGCTGACTTAACTCACTTAACTGACTGCACTTCACTATTTCACTCACTTTTCTTCTTTTCACTTCTTCCTTTTCTTCCGAATCGCTTTGGACTTAGAACTCAACTGCCAGCGGTGAGCCGCAGTTCCGCTTATATACCCCCGGTCAGGTTCTAGAACATTCAATTTCGTTATTCTTTTTGATCGTCATGCCTCCAGAACCTTCCAATAATTTCGTTATTCATTTTTATTTATTCTCCTTCTCGCTCCTTAATTTTTCATTACTTTCACTCAAATATTCCAGAAAGTTCGACAAAACTTCCATCAACTAAAAAACTTCATGTTTACGGCGGGACTCGAACTCGGGGTCTCTGTGGTGTAATCCACACGCCTTACCGATTACACCAACTCGTGTTGACAATTCACGACGAAATTTACAATCTCTAGGCAACGTTTGACAACCATCCATTGACGTCATGATGTCAAAGAGTTTTCTGTCACACTGCCCCCCTCTTAGATTCGCTCGTCCCGAGCATCGTTGCTACCGTAATACCTTGCCAACCTGTCTATATGGACAACTTTCAAAGGGCTCCTTGAAGACTTCCGAATTCTGTAAGTAATGTCATTGATCTTCGTGACTATCTCGTAAGGACCTTCCCAACTCGGTTGCAGCTTTGGAGATTTTCCCTTCCTTCTGACTGGATTATGAAGCCAGACCAATGACCCCTCTTCAAACCCAACAGAATTGGCTCGTCGATCATAGCGCGTCTTTGCGCGATCACTAGCTTGAAGACCGGCCTCCCTGATCTGCTCATAAATGTCCAACATTTTTGCCCTTAACTCGCTTATGTAATCGCTAAACTCGGTGCGAGAGTCACCAGGTGGACAGCCCGATACAAGATCTGCCGGTAATCTCAATTCCCTTCCAAAATTTGCAAATGCAGGCGTCTTTGCGGTACTTTCATGTACAGCAGTCCGATAGGCAAGCAAGAAGAGAGGTATGTAAGTGTCCCAATCTCTCTGATGGCTGTCAACCACCTTTGCTAAGTGTCGCTCCAATGTTTGGTTGAAGCGTTCGACCATTCCATCTGACTGTGGATGATAAGGGGTCGTTCGAGTCTTATGGATTCCCAAAAGTTTACAAGTTTCCTGGAAAACTTGGGATTCAAAGTTCCGTCCTTGATCACTGTGCATCTCCAAGGGC